CATATATATCCGCAAAAATCACAGTTAGCAAACGGTCAAATAGACAGAGGACCAAATTGTGTTAAAATTAAAAAGTTAAGGACTTAATTGGTTGAAATTAAAAATCGATGACCAATTTATGAATTTAGCTATAGTCGATGGACCATTTTGGGTATTTACACTATAAAATAAGACGAGTATTATTAAAAGTAAGTTAAATGTCACGTTATGGGACAAGTAACGGGACACTATTTTTACTTATCTGGTAACGAGAAAGAAAAAGTACGGAGTATATGCAAACATAAACGCAATGCTAGAAATTGAAGAAATTGCTAAAATAGCCACAGGTTGAAATAAACAAAACATAAAAAAGAGAAGGAAATCCTTGATAATCACTTTCTGCAATGGAGATTTCACTTCCCACTCTCTGCAAAGTAGAAATCGTTGCTCAAAACTCTCCGACTCAGTGACTCTGCGCTCTTATTCTTGAGCCCAATACCTAGGGTTCGCTTCCGCTTTCGCTCTCTCCAATCTGCCTTTTGCCTCGCAATGAGGACCGGGGTTGCGGCGATTCTGTTCACACTAGCGGCGGTGCTAATCTGCATTGAGGTCTGCGCGGGAGCGACCTACTCCTTCCGGCTGATTCACAGGTTCTCCGACGAAGCGCGTTCAGTTTGGGCGGCGAAGGGGAGACAAGGGCCGTGGCCGGAGCGAGAGAGCGTGGAGCGAGCAAGGTTGCTCCTCAGCAGCGACTTTAAGCACCAGAGGCTGAGGCTTGGCTCTCAGAAACAGCTCCTTGTTCCTTCCGAAGGAAGTCAGACCTTTGACTACGGCAATGACTTGAGCTGGTTAGTACTCGGCGGTAATATTGATTTCTGAAGAGGAATTTCACTCGCTTTCATTTTCAGAAATCTGGACCTCAAAACTAAAATTTTCATAGCTCCTTAACTGTTCTTTTATTTATTTTTATTTTTTGAAAAATATATTTTGATATTTAAAAAAAAAATTGCTTTTGAGTTTGAAACGAATAGTTAAACAAAAAAAAACAAAAAACAAATATACAAAAACTAACTTTTGGAGAGCATTCCAGGACTCATGTAGTTGCATTCCTAAATCAGGTGAAAGAATATTTGACTTACTAAATGCCCAATTCCCTAGAATATTTTGAGGTATCTATTATCTAGTATTTAATTTTCAATAGACTCTATCTAGTATTTGCAGTTTATTGTGCATTTGTGCACATCCATGTAGGCTACTGTGAACTCAAAAGTTGCTTATGGAAGTAATTTGAGGTTAAACGGTGAAACCATTTTCTGGAGCCTTTAAAATTAATATAACTAATATTTGAAATTGCTATATAATTGTAAGGTGGGGTGGAAGCAATGTGAAATTAACTTGGAAGAGTAACATTGAGTTTCAGGTGTCTTCCCTTTGTTAATTCCCCTTCATAACTACTTCACGTCGTCTTCACCTTCTGTTGACTCGTAGGTTTAGTGTTGATTTCCCTTTCACTCACATTGCTACTTTAATGTTGAATGACTAAAACATCTAACATTGTTTTCAAGGATTTTCTGGAGTTTTAGGAACTTGATCCATTGGTGTATTACCATTTCTGCTGTTGTGTGCAATTTAGTCATTTTGATGCATCATGCATGTTCTGTGATTTTGATTCTACTGTATGCTTTCTAGTTTCTACAACATTTCCCCTCACAAAGTACTACAGTATAATTGCTGCATTTTTTTAAAAAAAAAACTTTCTAATGTTTTTTTTTTTTTTCAAATTACAGAATATTTATTTTTGCATTTGTTTATTGAAACTTGAAAGGCACGAGCCATAGATTAATATCACCAATATCTATGCTGGGTCAGATTCTTGTTTGTAGTTCAATAATTATGAACATCTGCTTCATCAGGATTACACACTTTAAAGTGGCAAGGAATTGCAGTATTCTGAATTAAGATGTCTTACTATTATTCTTTATCATAGGTTCTCTAAATTCTCCAATAAGGTCCCTGATCATGAAGGGTGCATGGAAATATTGGTATGTCTTTACCAAAGACTACCATCTTTACAGTTTCAACTTTGTTTACTTGGTTTTCCCTTTGGGCAGGTTGCATTATGCATGGATTGATATTGGGACACCAAATGTTTCATTTCTTGTTGCGTTAGATGCTGGAAGTGATTTGCTTTGGGTTCCTTGTGATTGTGTACAGTGTGCTCCATTGTCCTCAAGCTACTACACTGTCTTGGTAGGCTACTGGTCTGCATATGCATCAGACTGTACATTCTTCTTAATCCTTATGAGTTATGATAATTTCTGATACTCATGCATCTCAGTTTTAATGTCCATTGTGCGATTTGATGCTTTAATCCAATATTGAAGGATATTACATTTGGATAATACAATTTTTTTTTTTTTTTTTTTGGGGGGGGGGGGGGGGGGTGGTGTAATAGAAGCATATGAATTATGAACTACATTACAACTATTACTGATTGAAACATTCCAAAGTTCAAAATTTAGTCACTTGTTTGGCCTTGTTAGTATGTATGGAACAAGTTTGTTCAAGATATAATTCCTTCAAGTAAGTCTAGTAGTGATAGTTCAAAACAAATTGAAAAACAGGTTTAGCAGTTAATTCTCCAGTGATTGATTGGCAGGTGCTCCCTCCTGTTTGGGGCATCTATTATGCAGGATAGGGATCTGAACGAGTATAGTCCAGCCCGATCTAGCACCAGCAAGCAACTTCCTTGCAGCCATCAATTATGTGAACTTGGTCCTGACTGCAAAAGTCCTAAGGAGCACTGCCCATACATGGTTGACTACTTGTCAGAAAATACATCAAGTTCAGGATTTCTTTTTGAAGATCAGTTGCATTTGATCTTATCTGGTGAACATTCACATCAAGACTCTGCTCTGGCACCAATCATTATAGGGTATGTGATGATTTAGTTTGTACCTAACCAATTTGATTTGCGCTAGACATCAATTGATGCAGAGCATTTCTCATTTCTTAATATTTAATTGCAGCTGTGGAAGCAAACAGAGCGGCAGCTATTTGGATGGAGCTGCTCCAGATGGTGTTTTGGGATTAGGACCTGGAAAAATCTCCGTTCCAAGCCTGCTTGCAAATTCTGGATTGGTTCCACATTCATTCTCTTTATGTTTTGACAAGAGCCATTCTGGGAGAATTTTCTTTGGTGATCAAGGGCCTGGAAATCAAAGATTTACCCCCTTTTTGCCACTTGAAGGGAATTAGTATGTCTTTCCTGCAGTCTTTCATACTATGTGACTTTTTAAATTGAAAAAGTTCTCATCTCAACCTTTTTATTTGCCTGAATGTCTTGCAATTTATTTCTTCAGTAACAAATACATTGTGGAGGTGGAACATTATTGCGTTGAGAGTTCCTGTTTAAAGCAATCTGGATTTCGAGCACAAGTTGATAGTGGTTCATCTTTCACTCTCCTACCATACGAGACCTATAAGAAAGTTGTTAATAAGGTTATATGCTCTTACACTCCTAATGTATTAGTTTAAAACAACCTGGATTGGTTCTATTTTGATTCTCAATTCCTTATCATAACTCATCTACATCCATCTCCTTTATTGTAGTTTGATGAACTAATGAATGCTACAAGGTCTAGCATAGATGTCTTTCACTACTGCTACAAGGCTCGGTAATGTTGTGTATTTGAAACCTTCTTGGTCTTAATTCATTTCTATAATGCTTGTGTTAATATATTCTTTCAATTGCAGTTCAGAGGGTTTACCAAATATTCCCAGTATGAAGCTCATCCTTTCTGCCAACCAGAGTTTTGTGATTCAAAATCCCATGTTTCCTATCCTCAACTATCAGGTCAGTTTTCAATCTCTTATGCCACCATCTGCCATTGGTGGAGATATAAATTTCTGTAAGACTTTTTCTAAGGACAGAGGACAGAATTATGCGGTTGCCTGTCCCTGTGAATCTGATTAGGTTTCATTATCGTGTTTTATCTAACATTCTCATTGATGAAAAGTCAAGTTCATATACTTAACTCCATACCCTGCATTAATAGACTTTCTAGGTATATCCCATATCAGGTTCCAAATGGGACTCAAATATTTGTGTGGTATTTTAGTGGTTTCCATTTTCTCCATTTATATACAAGTGAGAAAAGAATATATTGAGAGTTGTAAAATTATTTTTTTATAGCAGTCATCTTGTTTATTCTGTCATTTCATTTTATAATACTTGATGAAAAGGATTTCTCATAAGTAGAGGTTTTTGGCACAGGGAGTCAAATGTTACTGTTTAGGTGTACTGCCAATTGAAGGAATATATGGATTAATTGGACGTGAGTAGCTCTTGCTGAATTTCTATTTTTCTATTAAACTTGCTTTTTTGATCTATGCTTCTTAATCACATATTTGATTTCAGAAAATTGCAAATTACCTGAATTGTGTGTGCTTTGCAGAAAACTTTATGACTGGATACCGGATGGTATTTGATTGGGAGAATTTGAAGTTGGGTTGGTCTGCTTCTAATTGTAAGTAAATACTGATAGGTGATGCACATTTGTTTTTGTTTTCCAGAGAAAGAAATGGTGTAAGTGTCTTTGTGTTTGGCAGGTAAAGATTTGGATGATAATGATAAGGTTCCTGTAACGCCTACCCCAGGCGGTTTATCAGCAAGTCCATTGCCAACAAACGAGCAGCAGAGAACCCCCAACGGTCATGCAGTCGCCCCTGCCCTCGCTGGTAGGGCTCCTCCAAGACCATCTGCAGCATCACCTTGTACCATTCACTATCAGCATTGTACTCTGATTCTGATTCTGCTTATGCTACAATCATTCGTATGGTTATGTTGCCTGGTTTGATATCTGTGTGCTGGTGTATTTATCTGTAAATTCACAGTTTCTTTAGTGAAGCCTCTCCCGTGTTGTTTCATGTCTTGCAATCTTGCATCTCCATAATATCTAAAAGTTTATTCATTTCTTTGAGTAGGATGTAGAATCATTGTGGGGGGAGGTAAGTAACAATTAATGAAGTGTTCAGGTAGCATTTCTTAACTTCAACATGAGAAACAAGGTTTGTAACATTCTGAAACCAATAAAAACATGTCAGTAAAGATCATTATCAAAGACTGAGGGTTGATGCAAGAAAAGCTCCCGGCCATTCATTTGCACTACTCCTGCAGCTATATCCTCTGCATTCATCAAACAGTTGATAGCACTAAGAAACAGCACCGGATTAAAAAGAATAATCTCCGGATTGCTACACCGGTGTCGGTTGAATTAGAACCTACTAAATTCACGCGCCAATATGGGAAAAAAAAAACCCTAGAGTTTCTTTGTGTTCAATCAAAAATTGAAAAGCATGAAAGAAAATATAGACCTTTTGGCGTTTCCAAGAGAGGAACTGATTGGGCGTAATGCGATTGGGGTTCGGATCCGGATTTGGAACTGGTTCCCCGTTGCGTTTGGCTTGTTGATGGTCTTCCGCTTCGGCTCCCATTCTCTTCTTGTCTCCGGACAGTTGTTTGCCCGTCTGCGAATCGCCTCTTTATTAATTAACGTCTTCTCGGAATTTTATCGCGGAAGCGAACCGTTCAATCATACTGTGAACGGACAACACAGATTCTATTCCTATTTATTCTTTGATGAAAAATACTAATAATAAAATTGTGATCTATTTTTTATTAAATAAATTTTGATTTAAATATGATCCTCTAATGGTCCGTTTGGAAAGCAGGAAAATAACTTCAATGAGTTATTCTGAAAATGAGTTATTTTTTTTTTTCAGTGTTTGGTTGCATTTTGAAAAACTTGATGTGTTTAGTTTATTTTCTAGAAAAATGAGTAGAATTGTATGTTTAATCATTTTGGCGGAAAATGACTTCTCCCAAATTTTGGCGGAAGTCATTTTTCGCCAAAATGGTTTCATTTTCCCCGTTAATTGAAAATATTTTCCATTGACTGGATTTTCCTATTGCATTCAAACCTGAAAACTCAGAAAATATTTTTCAGAAATCATTTTTCAGGTTTCTAAACGGACCCTAAGTTATTTGCAGAAATCGATGTCCGCTTGAGTAGCTCAACTGATTACAGAAGTAAAATTTGTCACGACCAATGATTGAGTTTTACGTAGGAGTAACCTTTCAAAATGAGGGGCTCATCGTATGCTTGTCAAGTTTAAGATGGGCGCTTCCACCTTTTATCACAAAAAATCGTAATAACTATTACATGATTTTGATTTCAATTATTTAAGGTTATCAATATAATTTGATAAAAAAATATAATTATTAATAGACTTAAATATGTTTAAAATTTTGTAACGTTTAAATAGGTTTTCAAGCTGATAAATATATATATTTTTAGTATATTTAAATTTTTTACCATCAAACACAGTGACTAATCCTTCATTAAATTATAAGCATCTCTATTAAGTGAGACAGCTGACTTGGTGAAGATAAATATTAACCTTTACTTTGATAGCAAAGACTAAAATCTCACAATGCATGTTACATTTATTGGCAATCATATAATTAAGTGCAACAGATTAAAAAACTATATACTTAGATAAATTACTGCAAAATCCGGACATAATAGTAAAACCAACATCAATATAATATAGTGGCATGCAGGCATGATATCTATATATCAACGAGTGGTGAAAGCAAGCATTTTGAGATGAAGGCAAGCCTCCACCGCATCCGCCACCGTCAGGAAAATCCACCCTCCTCCAACTTTATTCACAAATTCCGCCGCCTTCAGTTTCTCTATCACCTTCCATCTTGGATTCGCCACTACTAACTGCATTTCAAAATGTTTTGTCAGGACGAGGTAAATCAACATAAGTTATCTATAACTGATCGACTTATTTAAGGTTGTTTAAATGATGTTCCCCTACCTGGATCCCTTGCGAAACAAAATTCTTATGCAGCTCTTCCAAGGCTATGATTCCCGAGGTGTCAATGTTGGTCACATCTGCAACGTGACACCAAATTAACTCAACAATCACTTGTAAATTGATTAAGTATAAAATTTAGTGCAAATAACATTTCTAGTCTTTTACTTACTGGACATGTCCAAGACCACAACACGAACACTATCCAAGCTGTTTTTTTCAGTGTCATTAGCTTCTGCTACCCATCTTAGGGTCCTGTAACAAACACATACTTATTAACTGCAATGGAGTAATCACATACCCAATTTCTCATCTTGAAATCTTACTTTTCTACAATGAAGTTAGCATTGGCAAAACAAATAGACCCGGAATTGATTCTGACAATCAAGATCCCAGGAATGGTAGTTGCAGCTGGAAACTGAGCTCTCTCACAAAAGATTTCTGTTCCAGGAAGCCTTCCTAGTACTTCTGTACTAGGTCTAATCACATCCACAACAACCTTAACAAATGAAATCCCAACCTGCATATGTAACATACTGTCATTCATGGCCAAGATTTATGCCTAGCTGCAGGTAGGTTGTGCAGTAGTCACTGCTGGAAATTATGGAATTTCTGACCACCTGAAAGTGATCTTGAATCAAGTCGAAAGTAAAAAGTGGTCGGAAATAGTAATAAAAGTTTTTCCGGATACCAAAAGTGGTTGGAACAATGCTTTCGACTTGATTTAAGATTACTTTTAGGTGGTTGGAAATTCCATAATTTCCAGCAGTGAGTTAAGCTCAAAACGCGAAATGGTTACCGCGACAACAAGGCCAATTTCCACTGATCCAAACAGCACTCCAAGAAAGGCACCAGTGCAGACAAGGAAGTCCATCTTGTCCACCTTCCAGATATGGAAAGCGCCCCGAAGGTCGATTAGTCCTGGAAGTGCAGACAGGATAATGGAGGCGAGGATGGCTAAGGGAGTGTAGTACATGAATTTGGTCAGCAGTTCCAGGGAGATCAACACTGTCACTGCCATAACTATGTTTGAGACGACGGTTTCGCAGCCTGCACTGAAATTCACAGCTGTTCTTGAAAACGAACCTGAAATTATATTCGATCAGTTAAGGATCTGCAGAAACATATGTATATGTTTTTTTCTCCAATTTGATGTGATTAAGGTTGCTTGCCTGTGGCAGCATAGCAAGAAGTTAAAGATCCAATGATGTTCATGAACCCCATGGCTAGCATTTCCTTGTTACCATCAAGCTGGTAGCCTTTAATTGAAGCGAATGATCGGCCAACAGAAATCGCTTCCTGGTGAGATGAACTATTACATTTAGACCACTCTAGCTCACACTACTACTTTTAAGACCTTTGAATGTGAAGATGAAGAAATGCATGCAAAAAGATAGAGCCTAACAGTGAGGGCAATGATGGCACATATTAGTCCTATTTTTGCAGATTCCCCAAGATGAGGACTGTTAAACTGCAGATCATGAACTGAGCTTGGATTTAGTCCCCCTTTAAAATGCTTCACAATCTTAACTCCCCGTTCCTCCGCTTTACTCAGGTACACAATCAATGTGGATAATATGACAGATAAAAGAGGAGCAAGTGCTGGTAACCAAAACATTTTCTTGTTCTTTCTGCCCTGCATTTGTTCACAGGAAAAATTGCATCATATATTAGTGTTTGTAGAATAATGGCAATCTTAATTTAGTACTTACAATGAATCTTGTGATTAGGATGAAGATTAGGAATGCACAGCCAATCAGGAAGTTGAAAGGAGACCACTGCATCACAAGACAGAAACATTAAACTGAGGAAACTAACATTAATAATAACAGAAGAGAGTAAAGATGTTGTAAAGTTTGTGCAAATTAAAAGCTTACTGGCTCATGGAATGAATTGAAAACAGCCTTGAAGACAGACACCACATCAGTCTTGGTGGTGAAATGGTTGATCCCCAGCAGCCCCTTCAGCTGCTGGAGACCAATTACAATGGCTGCACCCGCCATGAACCCGACTATGGCAGCGTGTGAGAGAAAATCCACAAGAAACCCCAACCTAAAACCACCAAATACATTAAGATCAATCAAATAGTCCGCATGGGCAGCTCAGTTGGTTCTTGGTAGTAGATTATGCGTAAGGATACACAGGATCGAGCCCTAACAGCCGTAATGTGAAAAATAGACCCAATGTGGTGGGCTCCTTGTGAGAGCCAGCACTAGTCCTCCCACCTAATGGTGGTTGAGTCACTCAAATTGGGCCTTTGGCAAGAGAATCGCTTTTTTTTTTTTGGTAACGAGAAAAATTCGCAGTCACTATTTGAGGGTGTGCACAGGGTGAACTATGCCTTGAGACCTTAATTAGTGACCACAAGGAGGTAAACTAGTCTAGATTGTCCGTAACTGAGAAGACCCAGATTCGAAGTCGTGACTTTGTGGTTATAAGTTTGTATCTTTAGCTATCTGAGTTATCCTCAATTTGGGCTTTTTTGGGGCAGCAAGGATGAATGAGAGGGAGAAGCAGTCATTAATTTTGAAGAAAACAGGATATTAATTAATGACCTGAACAATCCGAAAACTGCCTGGAAAATACCAGCAAAGAAGGTGACAGTGAAAACAATGTTTCTGTAAGCAACAGGATCCTGTGCAGGATCCACAACCTTGGAAACCATTGCAGACAGCAACATAGATACAACAGCAACGGGGCCAATGGCTATTTCACGCGAACTCCCCATCAAAGCGTATATTAAAGGCGGGACAACACTCGTATCTACATACGAAAAACAAAAAAAAAAAACATATATAATTAAGGAAACAAATTAAAACATGTTATTTAACAAATGTTCAGTTTCAGTAGTTCTTAACTTACACAGGCCATACTGAGGGTCAAGCTTGGCAAGATTAGCATATCCAATACTCTGCATAGTTTCCACACACAAGATGATAAAACCAAGAAACAAAGACGACTGTGCAATGAATTACAGAACGATAAACTATATATATATATATATATTCACCTGGGGAATGCAAAGGCTGGCAAGAGTGAGGCCAGCCATTAAGTCTTTCTTGAACTTAGTTGCCTTGTAGTTTCTGCCCCATTTGAGGATTGGGAACAGGCCTTGCAGGAAAGAAACAGCAAACCCAGATGGGGTTTTCTGGGTTTTAGATAAAGAAGAAGAAGAAGAGAGGGTGTTTGCATCTGGGAGAAGAGTGGCCTTGAGGGAAGTGATGAGTTGTTGGCATAGGGTGGGGGGTTGAGGAGAGTCAAGAAGCCATTGAGCTCTCTCCTTTCTTCTGCCATCGTAATTTGCAGAAGCATTCAGGTGGTCAAGCTCAATGCTGAAGCTCTCACTACCCATATATATTATTATTGATTTCAGATCAGAGTTTTGTTTAATTTGAAGTGTTTGGGTTAACTCTTGGGATCGATCACTGAATGTGATGATGATCACTTCATCATATCATCCTCCACGACAAATATAAATACATGTGTGGTGCCAATTACCATTTTGCCCCTTACGACCTACCTGAGAATTATGACCCATTCACTTGGTTATGCCATGTTACTCTTTTCATGACAAAAAAATATACATAGTTTTGTAACTATGTTATTGGGTGCTGATAGATACGTAATTAGTGCATTTTTTTATAATGATTTTGGTTTAATTGAGGGTTAAATTTGCACTACTTCATACTATTTCGCCTTATTTTTGTGAATCAGAAAATATTGGGGTGAGAATAGAAAAAGGAAGAAATGTTGGGTTATTTATAAAGAATTTAAAGTTTGCTTTGAAAGGATAGATGACTTGGATCAAAAAGGAAAATACTATATACACTTCCATTTCTTACTCCCAACTTGCACTCTCTCACAAATTTTTGATGTAGACATATTTTTTGGGACTCACATGATGAAAACAACACGTTTGTCATGTTATAGAGTAAAAGTGAGGGAGTAAAATTTAGGAGTATATGTAATGAAACTCGACCAAAAATTAAACTTGTTGTATCGCGTGGGCATATGGAAGAAGCTGATAAAAGCAAAGGAATAAAACATAATGACTCATCTATCTTAAATTTAAGTCTCGCATTTAAGTTTCGTAACATTTCAAATGCCAAATGTCTCATTCTTCATTGCATGAACTGGACACTTTTTAAGATTAGATTGAAACACACACACACACACACATATATATATATAATTGCACTCTGGTGCGAATGGAACGCCCAGGTGTGAATATGCGAATGTCTGATATCCGTCCACGTGTCCAGATTTAATGGATGAGAAACACTGATTTAAAAAAAAACGCGGTGACATTTTCGTAAAATGTATTACAGGTGCATGTAAAATGTATTATAGGTGCAAGTAAAATTTACAGTGAGCATCAATAATACTAAGTGCACCCATACTTGTAAGTAGTTGCACCTAGGTGCATGAATGAAACAAAACGAACTCAAATCAATGAATGTTAACAAGACAAAATTACATGTACTTGCAGGCGAAAGTAGGTGCACTTGTAGGTGAAACTAGGTGCACCCGATCAATGAATGCAGGCAAAAACTACATGCACTTGCCGGTGAAAGTATGTGCACCCGATCAATGAATGCTGACACGTGACGCACGCTGATTGGTTCGCATTTCTCTCTTGGACACCTATTCGCACCTGAACGCGACCATATATATATATATATATATATATATATATATATATATATATATATATATTTGTATATATATTTGTTTATTTATTTATTTATTTATTTATCCTGATCATTAGAGACGACAAGAAGTTTTATTTTCATTATTCTAACACTTTGAAATATTCTTTATTTTTTTTTAAACTTTAATTTCTTTTGAAGATTTTAGTGATTGAGTTCGAAACCCATTGTTTCTAGCTATGGATTGATTTATTTAGCCATGTGATGAAGGAAGATTATTGTGGGCAAGGAAGATTATTTATTTAAGTGAAGTTGCAAATTAAAGCATGCATGGTTTAGCGTATACGCATGTATGCATAAACAGTTAACTAATGATTTAATGTAGTGTTTTAGTTTTGTTTTAAGTGTAATTATAGTTAAACTGTCTCAATTTAAAGGTACTTACAATTTAGGGAGGAAATTAATTATTGTATTTCACCTTAAATACATTGAGTAACATTAAAAAAAAAAAAAAAAAAAAAGTTAAGCAATATATAGGTGAAAGTATTGCTAAGAACAAGAAATACTCGGTTAGCACCGGCCAACACAAGTTAACATATATACACACATATATATGATATACGATTGTCGTCTATCTATAAATACTAGCTTTTGAAGCCCCAATAAAAAATGGCAAATTATGTTGTTGAACTGTGTTCACCTTGTAAGGTGGACATGGTTCCAAAAATGTTCATAATTATGAATATAGAGTTGTGGACATAATTATGAACATATAGTTATGTAATTATGAATATAGAGATTTAATAATTGTGAGTATAAAATTAAAAAATTATGAATATATAATTTTATAATAATTATGTTACATATAGTTCAGTAATTATAAACATAGAGTTCAATAATTATGAATATATAGCTTTATAATTATGAACATATAGTTCAGTAATTATGAATTATAAACATAGAACCATGTCCACACGATTTCATAGCATAACGATTGATAAAAAGGTTTACGTAGGAATAAACTCCAACAGCACCACCGCCCAACACTGTACGTGCTCCAACATATATATATATATATATCACTAATCACTGTGGGATAGGCTTAATTATTCCACTCATCCCTTCCTAAGTGAATGCCCATTTTATGCCATTCAGTGCTGCAGATCACAGGTAGGTTTCATTCATCTTCGTTCGCAGGTCTAAATCAAAGGTCTCAATGTCTCATCAATGCAATCATTATTCCATGGACAATATCATACATAAAAGACACAATATATATTATTTTTGTGTATATTATTATTTAAAAATATACTTTTTTTTATGATTCGTACCATTTATACCCTCATGAAGGGAAGTACGGGGATAAGAATTAGAGCAACCTCATTTATTTAATTTTTATTAGGTTTTTTAGGTCATGTAGGAGGGAGAAAGTGAAGGGAAAAAAGAAAAAAGAAATTGAGTGTCAGAAAAAGAATAAAAGAAAAAAAAGGAATAGGTTTATGCTCTGGGTTGGGCGCTTCTGGTGAGCACAAGTGCACAACAGGTACGTTTACCAGAATGGCTGCTTTTTAATTTTTTATATTTTAGTGGACTCCATAAAAAAAATAATATTTTATAGAGAACCTTAAAATTTTTTCTCCTCAACTCTCTTCCACATCATAGTTCCACAAAAAACTCCAAGAATGATGATACTCTTAATCACAGGCTAGGGTGCATTGCAGTGTTTAGTTTATCATCATCATATAGCCCCATGCATCCATGCATAAAGGACAATTGATAAATAATCCGAATTGTTTTGTCTGTATGTTTTCTTGAATTTCATGCTGTTGTTCTCAAGCCTGCAGGCCAGTCTGAAGGATGAGTGAATCTGTTTTTAACTCTAATATTAAATTAAAGAATATGTACGTTTTTTTTTCTTCAAAAATTTAAATTAATGGTTGACCTATACATTAATATTTTATATATCATACGCTAATATTAGTGGTGGAGTGTCTCTCTATATATATATGCACAGTACAGGGCGGGATGGATACATCTTAATTCTTATCAGACTTGGTTGAAAATGAGAAATATTGTTGATAATACACCATGCATGCATCCACCATGGAATTTGGGTGTCTATTCTTAGCTTTCTCCATCACAGCAATGCACCCAGCTAGCTAGCACAGCACCATTATTATATTGAGCTGAAATTTTATCATCACTTCACAAATTAAAGCTAAGCCGGGCCGCCGCCTCTGTCGTCTGATCCGATCATATCGAATGAGTGTTTAATTTGACTCCATACCAGATGGATTATGGATAAGCATCCATCCATCTTATCGGGTATTGATGATGATGAGTACGTGTTCGGTTATTCCAACCACCAGCCTCCATTTCTTATCGTCTACACCTCATTAATTATATATATATATATATATATATATATATATATATATATATATATATATATATATATATATATATATGGTCGCATTCTGGTACGAATGTCCGCCCAAGTGCGAAATGTGAACCAATCATCGTGCGTCACATGTCAGCATTTATTGATCGAGTGCACCTATTTTCACCTATAAGTACACATACTTTCGCTTGCAAGTGCATGTAGTTTTTGCCTGCATTCATTGATCGGCTGCACCTACTTTCACCTACAAGTGCACCTACTTTCGTCTGCAAGTGTATATATTTTGCCTTGTTAACATTTATTGATCTGAGTTTGTTCTGTTTGGCTTCGTTTTTGTTCTTGCAAGGAGTTCAGCGGGTAGTAGTACCCGTGAAACCACTCGCAAACATTCATGCACCTAGGTGCAACTACTTATAACTATATGTGCAACTACTTATAACTATAGGTGCACTTAGTATTGATGCTCAGTGTAAATTTTACTTGCACCTATAACACATTTCACATGTACTTGTAAATGAGTTAATTCCATTTTTGGTCATAGATTTATAGTTGACATTTAACTTTTAGTCATTTAAAAAAAAAAAAAAAACTTCATTCTTTAGTCCTAGTATTATTGTGACATGATCATTTTTTGTCCTCCATCAACAAAATCATTTAAATTTTGTAAAATACAAGGACATTTAGGTCTTTTTTTTTGTCTTCAATTATGAATTTTTTTCAAACAAATAAAAATAAAAATATAACGAATTAACCCACTTTGTATAAGAATGATCTAAATGGTCTTGTATTTAACATTATTTCAACGATTTTGTTGAGGAAGGACAAAAAATGATCATATCATAATAACACTAGGACTAAAAATGAATGTTCTGAAAAGGAATGACTAAAAGTCTAAAAGTAAATTGTCACCTATAAATCTAGGATCAAAAATAGAATTACCTCAAAAATAAATTATAAATAACTTCAGTTAAATTAAATGAATCAACCCATAAAATGTAATTGAGAGAATCATTTTTTTTTTTTTGCCATTTAAATGGTTGAATAGTAGAAATTAAAGTTTGTAGCGTGAAATGTGCACTCTGTGGTGTGTGGCCTATGCACAGTGTGAGTGGAAAATTGGAGCTATATATATTTCCAGATTTACCCTCCGACGTTAATATCGCGGGTCCCGCACAATTGGCAGGAGTTCTCGTCTGACTTTTTCTAATTTCTATTGCATCCACGATTTTCTTGGCCCAAACCAAATCGTCAGCCACCACTACCTCAACTAATACTCCGTAAAACTCTTCTCTTCTGAATAATAATCTGTCATTAAACGCAATATATATAATATCTAAGCTTGAAAATGGTAGCCATATAAATAAAGTTTTAAGATTCAATTTTTCTTGTTTCAATTCTCTCTGCATTATTCTAAAATAAATAAATAAATAAATAAAATAATTCTCTCTGCATTGAGTCACTGGTTACGTTTATCGTCACTTCTGAGTTCTGCAGTGCAAACAGAGAATCCCAAAAGAGGGAAAAGAAAAACAAAAAGAAACAAAAGGCAGGCAGCATCTTTACCTTAGCTCTCTGGGCCACCGTTTTTTTTTTAAAAATAAATAAATAAAAATTCAATTTAACCATCATTGCTCCGAGAAGATCAAGAAGCACAGTTCGATTACAGTGCTGTAAAGTCTTACGTTAGATTCATTGAACCTGGACAGGTTTTGGTTCTTTGTTTAGTTCTTGTAACTAGCTAGCTTGCTAGGGTAAGGGATTAGTTGATCTTATTCTCCCTATTCTGTGGACCGTCCAGAGTGCGAATGAAAAGGCATGTTGGTGACTTTTTCCTAACTTTTAGTGTTTTTCTTTTAAATAATTAATCTCACTTTTTCCCTTATATTTTGTTTAATCTTTTCGAGATCAAAAAACGATTATACATATATTATTGTATTGTTTAATCTTTAATAATATATGTAGTGTTTTTTTTGTGTACCAAGTTTTGCTTGATATGCTATACTATATACTTGGTAGGCAGGTGTGTGGACCTATGGGCGAGGAAATGTCGTTTTTTGTGAGAGTTTTGGTTGATGTGTATATTTATTTATACGGGTTAAATTCTGTGCAGTGAGAGTTCGAAGTGTGGGGCCCACTGAATTTCTACACCCTAGCGTGTCATCCACTATCAATGGCGTTCAAGAAAGGCATCTGGGGTGGGGGATGGAGGTGAGACAATTTCTGTTAGCTTAATTGGCTTTTATTCTGTATGTATGATTTTGTGATATGATATGATATATATATATATATATATATATATATAAAAGGAAGTGAATTTTGTCATTTGATATCTTTGTTCCCTAGTTCATGCATGTTTGGACAGAAATCATTAATTAGTTTATGTTGCTTTTGTTGGACTGAGGATACTTAAGGTGCAAAGGCAATGCTTTTGCCCCAAATCCACACTTGGGTCTAGTTTCGACTTAACAACTTCTTAATTAAATGAGTGTTTAGTGCTTATAAGGAGTCCATCACATTGGGTGCTGCTCTTACACTATGGTTGTCAAGACTCGATTTTGCTTCCTAAGATATAATTTATCACCCAAGTACAAATTGAGCTGTCCATTTGACCTAACTGAGTATACTTGTCCTTGTTCAATGTTGGATGGATGGGGAAAAAGTGTTGGATTTTGGAGGAAGCTGATTCTATGTTACAAGTGATGAACACCTTTAACAATATATAATAAATCAGTTTTATAATATTGAAAGGTAACTAATTTGATTTGCCCAACATAAACTAATGTTTCCCTGCTTTCACAAAAAGTTAGTACAACAAAATGTTGTATGTTTACTAGACATTACTTAGACAACATCGAAAGTACTCTGATCTGCATCAGTTGTCATTGATAATGCATAATATGTCCATGTTTAGCTAAAATGTTTCCCAGTCTGCATTTCTAGTTTTCTAAAATTTTTCATTTAATGTTTTTTTTTTTTTTTTTGCTAATTATTGCAACTAATTTTTTTGAGTCACATACATATTCGTTTTTAGTATAATGAAAATTCACCAAAATACATTTGACATTGTCTGCTGAGTGATTTATCTGACAAAATAAGTAAGATTTGAGGATTTGCATGGGTCCATTACAGGTGAGTTAAAAGAAAGAGGGGCAAAGTAAAGTGGAGGGAGGCAGTGAAGACGTACGTAGAGGAGATAGATAGAGATGGAGACAGGAGGAAGTGATGATGAAAACGCAGCATACATTCACAGGGTTGGGCCCCCTCAAAAAGTGAACCTAGTCAAGGAGATCAAGGAAACGGTTAAGGAAACGCTATTTTCAGATGATCCTTTGCGGACATTTAAGGATCAGTCAAGGTGGCGACAGTTTGTCCTTTTCATGCGGGCGGTTTTCCCCATTCTTGAATGGGGAAGACACTATAACTTGGCTAAGTTCAAAGGAGATATCCTTTCTGGTCTCACAATCGCAAGCCTCGCAATTCCTCAGGTACGTGCATGCATGCATGCATGCTAATATGCTAGGGGTATATATATAAAGTTGATGACGGACTAATTGTTGTTACTTCCATTCTTCAAAAATTAAAGGACATTGGGTATTCCAAGCTGGCAAACGTAGAACCTCAGCATGCATTATGTAAGCTAAGGCATGCATCTTTTTTTTTTTTTTTTTTGGATTTGTTGTGACTATCTTACGTGTTATAATTGTGGCAGACACCACCTTTGTTGCACCATTGGTTTACTCATTAATGGGCAGCTCAAGACATATTGCCATAGGGCCAAGTGCTGTTGTGTCTCTCTTGCTGGGATCTATGCTTCGGATTGAAGTTGATCCTGTTAAAAACAAACATGAGTACATGAGGCTTGCATTTACTGCCACTTTTTTTGCTGGCCTCACACAAGCAACCCTTGGAATTCTCAGGTTAATTTCATCGCTCCTAATTTGCTTTGGTCTGCGGTCCGGGTCTTTCTCTGTCCGTTTAACAGCCCAGGTCCAACTGACATTATCTTAATTTGGCATGCAGATTGGGATTTTTAATCGATTTCTTGTCTCATGCTTCTATTGTTGGTTTTATGGCTGGCACGGGCATCACAATAACCCTCCAGCAGCTAAAAGGTGTTCTTGGCATAAGAAATTTTACTAAGAAATCTGATATTATCTCTGTAATGAAGTCTGTATGGGGCGCAGTCCATCATGGAGTATGCATTTTCGATCTCATATGTTATCAATCACCTCCATTATATTTTTCCTGATCGAGGATGAAACACTTACCTATTTGACTTAATTGCAGTGGAATTGGCAGACCATTCTCATTGGAACTTCCTTCTTAGCTTTCCTGTTAGTAACAAAGTTTATTGTAAGCAAATTTAATTCACCTCGCATCCTTCCATCTGTACGTGTTAACATTGTAAAAATTTCATTATATTTTCTGGAGTAGTCTAATGAGATTTTACTATATATATCAGGGGAAGAAAAACAAGAAATTATTTTGGGTACCTGCAATTGCTCCACTAATATCTATCGTTCTCTCTACTTTGATTGTCTTCATTACACATGCAGACAGGAAAGGAGTTGCGATTGTAAGTTATTTTTGTTTTTGCTGAATATAATCTATCTTTAATTAATTAATTGGTATATATATTTTTCTAATATTGTACTGTGACCAGATAAGATACATTAAAAAAGGAATCAATCCTCCCTCCGTGAAAGAAATTTACTTTTCTGGAGAAAATGTTTTGAAAGGACTGAAGATCGGTGTTGTAACTGGCGTGATTGCATTAACAGTAAGCTCAGCTCGCTAATCATAAAAAGTTTTAATTTATACCCTCATCTGATATATCTCGATCTCATGGTGGCTTGGCTTTCAGGAAGCTGTGGTGATTGGGCGAACATTTGCTTCCCTGAAGGGCTATCAAGTGGATGGAAACAAGGAAATGATGGCACTAGGAACCATGAACATTATTGGTTCAATGACCTCTTGCTATGTGGCAACAGGTGATGAAACAACCTCGTATAGAAACTATGAATCCAATTCCACGGTTAGTTGCACAGCATAACGCTCCTATGTTGTTGCTTGTTGCAGGTCCGCTTTCTCGGTCAGCAGTAAACTTCATGGCCGGTTGCAAAACAGTAGTTTCTAACATTATCATGTCCTGTGTTATATGTCTAACTTTGTTATTTTTAACCCCCATCTTTAAGTACACACCAAACGCAATCCTTTCCTCCATCCTTATATCTGCAGTCATCGGCTTAGTAGATATTGAAGCAGTGATCTTGATCTGGAAAATAGATAAATTTGATTTTGTTGCTTGTATGGGGGCATTTCTAGGTGTGGTTTTTGTCTCTGTTGAGGTTGGTCTTATAATTGCGGTAAGGCCGCCAGACAATCTAATCATCTATTATCTATGTATCAAAATAAAGTATATATATGCCAAATGCATGCATGCTGATGATGGATGCATTTTTAGGTTTCAATATCCTTTGCTAAGATTCTTCTACAAGTGACGAGACCTCGTACAGCCAGTCTTGGTAGGATTCCTAAGACAAATGTGTATAGGAATATCCAGCAATACCCAGAAGCAACTATTGTTCCGGGTGTATTGATTATTAGGGTTGACTCCGCAATCTATTTTTCAAACTCCAACTATATAAGGGAGAGGTATATATTAAGTTAATGCTTATAATCCTACTATATACGTTTTCTGGCAAAAAATTACTAGTGTACGTGCATGGCATGCATAATTTGTGTTTATTTTTTTGCAGAGTATTAAGATGGCATGAAGATGAGCAAGAACACGTGAAAGCAGCTTCCCTTCCCAGAATTGAGTTTCTAATACTTGAGATGTCGCGTAAGTGGAAGATCGAAATGAAGTTTTGATATATAGTATCCACTGCTGGAAATTATGGAATTTCCGACCACCTGAAAGTGAATATCAAGTCAAAAGCAACAAGTGGTCGGAAATAGCAACAAATGTTTTTCCAGGTGGTCGGAAATTCTATAATTTCCAGCAGTGATCCAATCTGATATTTTCTTGATTTATGTTTGTTCTTGTTTAATTTGCAGCTGTTACTGACATCGACACCAGCGGCATCCACGCCTTGGAAGAGTTGTACCATAGCCTACAGTCAAGTAATGTTCAGGTAACCAACCATCAGTGCATGCAGCATGAGATAGAATTGAAAAAATTGAGTTAATTAAGATTTTGATTCTACCGTACGTTGTTATTCATCAACTTATTATATACAGCTTGTTCTGGCAAACCCGGGAAAAGTGTTGCTTGACAAGCTTCATGCATCCAAATTTGCCAACCTCATTGGCGAGGACAAAATCTTCCTAAGAGTAGCAGATGCAGTGCAAGCATGTACACCAAAATTGGCAGAGGATGTGTAATGGAACTAAGCAATGAGAGGCAGAGATATAGCATAAATGAAGAAAAGAGCCATTTGTAATAGTGGTATGGGCCGGCTAAATAAAGTGACTGATACACTTATCCAATAAAAGGGTGAGTTCGCGTCTCGTTTTTGAGACGACATAGGCTGTTTTCCTTTTTTATTCGCCAGCCTCGAATTATCCCTTTTTTGTATTCCAAAAAAAAAAAAAAAAAAAAAAAAAGTGATTGATACCCTTATCCAATAAAAGGGCAGGCCACAATGGCTGGCCATATATGCTAAGGTTGAGTAAATTAAAGCATTTCTCAATGTTTCTTTCTTTGCTGTCATTTTATGAAGTAATCAATTTCATCAAACGAATTCAACATAGCTAACTGGCCTAGAAGCCGACTACTTTTTGTACAAGCACACAATCATCGCACAACAAATGACTTTTTTGTACTTTTCATTTGCTACCTCGGAGGATTGCTAGGAGCGTTGTATGAGCGAATTTAAGACTTGCTTTTGCAGGTAGGACGAAAATTTGGGTGAATTTTTAACCTAAATTCACAAATTATGGAAGGATCCAAGGCTCTCGTAACCCAACCATATGACATAATAGGACAAGAGCCAACGGCTTTGACACTATTGACGTTTTCATAATAAATTTAAGGGCGAGTTCATAAGTTCAGGACATAATAATCTCATATAATGGTTAATGACCCAATTTAAATTACAAAATGAAGGGTCCAAGGCTCCTGTAACTCAACCATATGGCACAACCCAATAACTTTCTCAAGATCTGTACCTTAATCACCTCACATCTCTCACATTGGTTAAGACTAGAATACAAAATATTTCTCTCCATATAAATAATAATATTTTTCTTTCAAAAAAATAAATAATGATATTTTATATATTTTTGGCAATCATTCCCATATAAATTGCTATTAAGCATAGCTTATTATAATTGTAACTCAACCTGTTAAAAACTTGCAACTATATATACTTAACGCTAAAAAATTAATGACTAAATTGCTATTTAATTATAATTTAGAGAAAGAAATGCAATTTTCTTTTATAGTTATGTTACGTTAAGATTTTACAAAACAGTTTTCACTCGCAAATACCATATCCTTCGCCAATCAACGATGTCAGTATGTCACAAAGAAATATCTCAACAATAATTAACAGTTAATTGTTATTTTTAATTTACTTAGAAAGCGTCAACTAGTATATAGTGTGATATCATTTTGATTACTATTCTAAATGGGTGGTCATATGTTTGAATTTCGATGGTGATGAGGATTTAGATTGGTTAGAGAAAATACCACTTTATAAAGAATTATGCAAAATAGTTACTCATTGGTACATTTTGATTGAAGATTAATGTGTTGTAATCTTAACCAACAAAGAAACAAAAAATTATAATGAAGTAAACCAATTTAAATTATTTATATATGACTAGTTTCAAATTAATAAACTCAACCAACTACTCTTATAATGAATCAAACTTGTAGGTACAAAAAGCGTTTTTATCTAAGATTAGACCGAAAATTTCAACACATGGGCGTCAAATATCGCCGCGGCATGGACCGACCTATATCAGTATATCTCATCAGTAGCGTATCTTAAATATCTATAAAAAAAATAAAAAATAAAAAAAATAAAAAAAAAAAAACATAGTAAGTCTCATGTCATGTTATATTCTCGATTTATGTTCGGTTTTTGTTAAAAAAAAAAAAAATTTACACATTATGCTATAGGAGTAATATGCCCATGTTTAGCTAAAATGTTTCCCAGTCTGCATTTCTAGTTTTCTAAAAATTTTCATTTAATGTTTTTTTTTTTTTGCTAATTATTGCAACTTTAAAATTTGAAAAAAAAAATAGTAAGTCTTCATGGTAATAACAACATTTTTCACAACATTTTTTCTTATATTCTTCAATGGTAATAACTAATAATGTGTGTAGGGTGTAGTTATTTATGTATTGAAATAATATAAGACGTTTGATTTCATTTAGATTTTTAATTAAATGTTATCTTAACTATGTAGTAATTTATCATATAAAAACTTTTTACTTTAAAAGTATTAATCATACCATAATTATTACTCAAATTATCAAGTATACTTTAATACTTTAATTTTAATATAATATTAGTTCTACAACTATGAATTTTTTAAGAGTTAATACCTAAAATGGTCCCTCGACTATGCCATAATTACCAATTTGGTCCTCAACTACCATTCTTACCCAATTAAGTCCTCAACTATGTAACTTTTACTCAATTAAGTCCTCAACTATACAATTCTTACCCAATTTAGTCCTCAACTATACAATTCTTACCCAATTTAGTCCTCAACTATACAATTCTTACCCAATTTAGTCCTCTGTATTAATTTGACTGTTTGTTGACTGTCAAAAGTCGGGATAAAATTATAATTTTACAAGATTTCTCCTTCCTCTCCATTTAGCAGCGCCAAACCATGCAGCAATACACTCCGGTCAGATTTCGATCGTCAAAAAATCGTTGAAAATCAAATTCATGGGCTATCCGATGTACAACCACTACTTCGATACTGACAGGTTTAGAACCCAACCGGAGCTTATTGCTACATGGTTTAGCGCTGCTAAATGCGGAGGAAGGAGAAAACTTGTAAAATTACAACTTTATTTCCACTTTTGACAGTCAACAAACAGTCAAATTGACAAAGGACTAAATTGGGTAAAAATTGTATAGTTGATGACTTAATTGGGTAAGAATGATAGTCAAGGACCAAATTGGTAATTACGACATAGTCGAGGGACTATTTTGGGTATTAACTCATTTTTTTAATATAATATTAGTTATCAAAAAATATTTGTTGAAAATCTGCACCAAAAACTTATTCATTTGAAAAAGATTATTTATGTAAGAATTATGTTTATTTTATATCTAATTTATCCTTTTTATATATGTAGAGTCAAATTAATTATAATCGAGTTTTAAATGAGTATATACACAAATTATATTATATTAAATATAAAACTTTATCAATAAATGCATTCATATTCCTAATCTCATTTGCATTCACACTTGGATGGAAATTTTTTTTCCCTATTTCATTTTGCATATAATTAGATGCAATGTACAAAATTACAGAACTCAATATTTAATTGCATCTCTATACATTCACAATTTTTGAATTCTATATTCACCATTTTAGAACTCTGTATTCACAATTTTAAAATTCTATATTCACAATTACAAAACTGAATATTTACTCGCTGAGTTGTTTTTAATAATTTCTTTTCTAAAAAAAAATTATTGGTTGTTCAGTTCTAATATTGTAATATAGAGTTCAAAAATGGTGTACATAATATCCATGGCATAACTATCCCTTGGCAGGAGTAGTCGTCTGACTTTTTCTAAATTCAATTGCATCGACGACTTTCTTGGCCCAAACCAAATTCCAGCCACCAATATCTTAATGAGTACTCCGTAAAAGTCTTTTCTTCTCACTATAATCTCTCATAAAAAGCAATATATAATATTTAAGGTTGAAAATGGGAGGCATTGCATAAAAATAAAATTTAATATTTTTCCAAAAAAAAAAAAAATTAAATAAAATTTAAGAATTTTCTTCTTTCCATTCTATCTGCATTGAGTCACTCGTGACTTTTGAGTTCTGCAGTGCTTCAATTCTGGTGCACACAGAGAATCCCAAAAGAGGGGAAAAAAAAACGAAAAGAAACAATTAAAAAAAAAAAAAAAAAAAAAAGGCAGTCAGGCAGCATCTTTACCTCTCTGGGCCACCGTTTTTTTTTTTTAATATTCAATTTAACCACCATTGATCCGAGAAGATCAAGAAGCACAGTTCGATTACAGTGCTGCAAAGTCTTACGTTAGATTCATTGAACCTGGGCAGGTTTTGGTTCTTTGTTAGCTCTTGGAGGTAGCTTAGGCTAGGGTAAGGGAACACACTTGAACAGTGGCTATATATATATATATATATATATATATATATATATATATATATATATATATATATTGGTGTACCAAGTTTTGCTTGATGTGTATATTTATATGGGTAAAATTCTGTGCAGTGAGATTTGGGAGTGTGGGCCCCACTGAATTTGTATGCCTTAACGTATCATCCACTATTAATGGCGTTCAAGAAAGGCATCTGGGGTGGGGGATGGAGGTGAGACAATTTCTGTTAGCTTAATTGGCTCTTATTCTCTATGATTATGATTGTGATATGATATGATGCTACAACTCAGGTGAAACTTGAATTCATTGCACATTAAATGAGATGATTTGTGCTTATTATTTCGAAGCATAATTCATTTTTAATATACTAAAGTTTGTTTTAAAAAAAAAAAAGGTTGATTTTTTAGTATAGTAGCAAAGAATTGAAGAAGCTAAGGTATAAAAAGGGGAGGCAGTGATGACAGGAACGATGGATTCACAAGATGATGAAACCACACCATACATTCACAGGGTTGGGGCCCCTCCAAAAGTGGACCCGTTCGAGGAGTTCAAGGACACGGTTAAGGAAACGCTATTTGCAGATGATCCTTTGCGCTCATTTAAGCATCAGTCAGGGCCGAGAAAGTTTGTCATTTTCATGCAGGCGATTTTCCCCATTCTTGAATGGGGAAGACACTATACCTTTGCTAAGTTCAAAGGAGATGTCATTTCTGGTTTCACCATCGCAAGCCTCTGCATTCCTCAGGTACGTACGTACGTACAACAAATGCATGCATGCATGCATGCTATGCTAGCTGACTAATTATATTGTGTTTTTTTTTAAAAACCCTAATTATATTGTTACTTGTTCACAAATTAAAGGACATTGGGTATTCCAAGCTGGCAAACGTAGAACCTCAGCATGCATTATGTAAGCATATATTATGCATCTTTTTTTTTTTTTTTTTTAAATATCTGTAGTACGTGTTATAAGTAACATAAGTGTGGCATATAATATATGCATCCAGACACGAGCTTTGTTGCACCACTGGTTTACGCATCAATGGGCAGCTCAAGAGAGATTGCCATAGGGCCAGTTGCGGTTGTGTCTCTCTTGCTGGGAACTATGCTTCGGAGTGAAATTGATCCTGTTAAGAACAAAACTGAGTACATGAGTCTTGCATTTACTGCCACTTTTTTTGCTGGCATCACACAAGCACTCCTTGGGATTCTCAGGTGAATTATTAGCACTCGAAACTTGGTTGGGTTAAACAATATAATATTACTGACTTCGATCTGATCTTAATTGACTGACTTCCTTCCAGATTGGGATTTTTGATCGATTTCTTGTCTCATGCTGCTATTGTTGGTTTTGTGGGTGGCGCCGCCATCACAATAGCCCTCCAGCAGCTAAAAGGTTTTCTTGGCATAAAACATTTTACTAAGAAAACTGATATTGTCTCTGTAATGAAGTCTGTATGGGGTGAAGTCCGTCATGGAGTATGCATTTTCGATCTCTTCCTCAGCTCCATTATATTTTTCCTATGATCAAACACACACTTACCTATTTGCGTTTATTATATTTCCCATTGCAGTGGAATTGGCAGACCATTGTGATTGGAGCTTCCTTCCTAGTTTTCCTGTTATTAGCAAAGTATATTGTAAGCAAATTCAGCACGCTTCTGCATGTGTTAACATTGTAAAACTATGCGATTTTCTGGGGTCTAATGAGATATTACTATATATATATATATCAGGGGAAGAAAAACAAGAGACTCTTTTGGGTACCTGCAATTGCTCCACTAATATCTGTCGTTCTCTCTACGCTCTTTGTCTACATTACACATGCAGACAAGAAAGGAGTTGCGATTGTAAGTTATTTTTTGCTTCTAATATAATTCCACTTTAATTGCTATGTTTTTCTAATATTGTATCATCACCAGGTAAACCACATTAAAAAAGGAATCAATCCTTCCTCCGTGAATCAAATTTACTTTACTGGAGAATATGTTTTGAAAGGAGTGAAGATCGGTCTTGTAGCTGGCATGATTGGATTAACAGTAAGCTCAGCTCTCTAATCATAAAAATGCAAACTAGTTTTAGACCTGAAAGATATTTTAGACCCTCATCTATCTCTCATGGTGGCTTTCAGGAAGCTGTGGCGATTGGGCGAACATTTGCTTCCATGAGGGGCTATCAAGTGGATGGAAACAAGGAAATGGTGGCACTAGGAGCCATGAACATTGTTGGCTCAATGACCTCCTGCTATGTGGCAACAGGTGAACGAAAAATAAAATTAGAGAAATTAGAGAGAAAATAAAATTAGAGAAATAATCTTAATCTAACTAGTGACTGGTTGCAGGTTCGTTTTCTCGGTCAGCAGTAAACTACATGGCCGGTTGCAACACAGCAGTTTCTAACATGGTGATGTCCAGTGTTGTATGTCTAACGTTGTTATTCTTAACCCCCATCTTTAAGTACACGCCAAACGCAATCCTGTCTGCCATCATTATGTCTGCAGTCATCGGCTTAATAGATTACGAAGCAGCCATCTTGATTTGGAAAATAGACAAATTTGATTTTGTTGCTTGTATGGGGGCATTTCTAGGTGTGGTTTTTGAAAGTGTTGAGATTGGTCTTTTAATCGCGGTAAGGACCACTTCAACTACTGTACTATTTATTTATTTATATATGCATCAAAACAAGCTAACTATATGATGATATAGGTTACAATATCCTTGGCTAAGATTCTCCTACAAGTGACTCGGCCTCGTACAGCCAGTCTTGGTAGGATTCCTAAGACAAATGTGTATAGGAATATCCAGCAATACCCAGAAGCAACTACGGTTCCGGGTATATTGATTGTTAGGGTTGACTCTGCAATCTATTTTTCAAACTCCAACTATACAAGGGAGAGGTAACTACGTACTTATCATATATATATATGTTTTCTGCCAAAAAATTATAATATATGTATGGTTGAGAAGTGAAATTTGTGTTTATTTTATGCAGAATATTAAGATGGCATGAAGATGAGGAAGAGCACCTGAAAGCAGCTTCCCTTCCCAGAATTGAGTTTCTAATACTTGAGATGTCGCGTAAGTGGAAGAAGATCGAAATGAAGTTTATTTTGATATATAGTATCCAATCTGATCTTCTTTTCATGATTTATTGTTTAATTTGCAGCTGTTACTGACATCGACACCAGCGGCATCCACGCCTTGGAAGAGCTGCTCAGTAGCCTACAGAAAAAGAATGTTCAGGTAACCAAGCATGCATCATATCAGTGCAAACAGAAATGTTTACAATACAGATCGATTGATCGAGTTAGTTATATATTCTAATATGAACATATATATATATATATATATATATATATATAACAGCTTGTTCTGGCAAACCCGGGAAGAGTGGTGATTGACAAGCTTCATTTATCCAACTTTAACAACCTGATTGGGGAGGACAAAATCTTCTTAAGAGTAGCAGATGCAGTGCAAGCATGTACGCCAAAATTGGCAGATAATAATGTGTAATGGATCGGACAAAGTAACTGATACATACCCTTTAATGTATGAAGTAACCAATTTCATCAAGACTATAGTCTGTATAATGTTGTACCGGACGGATAAAAAGTAGAAACAAAAACAACCAATGCACAATTTTCCAAATAATATCTCTTCACCAATATCATATCCCGCTAATTTGCTCCTCTTCTATTGAAGACTTGAACCTGGTGAATGCATCTTTAATTTCGCCAGAATAATGTGTCGCTGATAATTCTCGGAAATTTACTTGGATTCAAATTCAGAGTAAATTCAATAAACAGAAAAGTTTATTTTTCTTGCCATGTTTTAAAATTTTGTCACGTTACATAATTTATTTTTATTCAATTTGTCCTTCGTTTTAATTTCTACTATTTTACTGTTTATAAAGTGTACGTTAACATGATTTTTATTATTCAATTTCAAAAATTTATGACGGAGAAATATAAATTACATATTTACATGTGTTTGGGCAAATTAAAGAAACTTACATGAAATTATATATTACGGAGTACTTCTTTTTTTCTTTTTCTTTTTTTTAAGGAGGAATGATAAAATTGTAAATAGAAAATTGTGACAAGCAAATAAAATTTAATAAGTAACAAGATAAAATTGACTAAATGCAATGACTAAAAAATTAATTTTTTTTCTAAAATAAATCATGCCAAATTAAATTAAAAGGAATTTTATTTATTTACAAATGATGATATATAGTGTGTAATAATTTGTTATTACTTTAGTCTTTTTGATGACAAATATAATGAAATCTCACTGAAATTTATCGCATAACTTGCAAGTGACTAGAGAATATATGAAGAAAACATATAGGTCAAATAGGTAGCTTATAGGTCAATTTTGGCTTCTTTTTTTTTTTATTTGTTTGACTTTGTTAAAAAATTAATATAAGTGTTTAGTTAATTAGCTTTTTGTAACTCCAAAATGCTAAATTTCAATTAGCTTTCTAAGAAAAGAAATTATACCAAACAATTATATATCAGTTAATAGCTAATTTACCAAACACATTTCTACAATCAGCTAATGTTATAAACTAGTTATACCATTTAATTAACTCAAATCAACTAACAGTCATTTACCAAATAGGCCATAATATAATGATGATGAACCAAGTACCTTTTTTATGATTTGATGAATTACTATTACGTACTTTTGATAAATGTCTCATGTTCTTTAGAGTACGTAATTAACTTATTAATTAAATTACAATCAACTCCATCTTAAAATAAAGAGTCGTTACATTTGAAGTTTGAACAAGTATTAAATTAATAGTGATTGTTAATTTAATATTAAATAAGAAGCTCTACTACATGTATTTTTAATTCTTACTCTCTCAATTTTAATTTTTAGTATGACATACACTCATAAGCTATTTTTTTATGTGAGGCTCATTACAAATGTTTAAATCACAATTTTGAGTGTGAAAGGAACAACTTAGATTAGAAAATAGGACTACATAATATTTTCACATGTGGACAGTATATGCTAGTACAAATATATATTATTATATTCCATATCACTACTGTAACGGTCCTTTTCCTCTATTTGGTCTTTTCTCACGTAACATTATTGTGTGTGGAAATTTCAACACAGATTGGGGTCAAAGATTGCACCAATAATTAAGCTATTAATTATTTTTAATATATATATATATATATATATATATATATATATATATATATATATATATATATATATTTTTTTTTTTTTTTTTTTTTTTTTTGAATCCGGTGCACACCACCTAGTTAGCCGAGTCCGTGAGCACACTCCCTAATTGTTGATGGTGTTTTATTTAACAGTGAGATGGTGTGATGAAGAAACAGACGTGCACTGGACATAGGGGTTCTTTTGTGTGTGTGTGTTTTAAAATAATATATATTTATATAATATATGAGCTAAATTAATAATTTTATGATATATAGATACATCGCATAATTTTTTTTGTAAATCATAATTTTTATAACTCCGATCCTCTCTCTCTTATAAACAAAATTAGGATATGTCAAAGCAGCTTTTTTTTCGTTGTTTATTTTTTAGTATTTTTTTATTTTTAAATTTAATTTTCTGTGTTTAATAGTATTTTTTGATGTAGTTTCTAAATATATATATATATATATATATATTAATTTTAAATTTAATATTATGAAATAAAAAATTATAAATACTTTATTTAAATCTCAATGACTTTATAGTCAAGTGACATGAGAGGTCATGGGTTCGAGTTTCAGTTAGGGCGGTATTGACTCTTTATACTTCAATAGATTGAGAAAAAATATACGAACAAATACTACAATGTAATACAGTCAATAGGATTTAAAAAAAAAAAAAAAAAAAAAAAAAAAAAAAAAAAAAAACTTCATTTAAATTAACTGAATTAGGCGCATTAAATATGATTGAGGGAATATTATTTTCTCTTTTTTTTGCCATTTAAATAAATGGTTGAATGGTAGAAAGGTTTGGAGCGTGAAATATGCACAGTGTGGTGTGGAAAAAAGGAGTATCTTTCCAGATTTACCCAATTTTCAGTTTAGACCTGATAATGAAAGTGGACGCCTTCTCATCCTCATACATCCCTTTCAACTTTCCAACCTCAGCCGTGCCAACGTTAATGTCGCGGGTCCCATAAAACTTGGCAGGAGTTGTCGTCTGACTTTTCTTTTCTTTCTTTTTTCTTTTTTGGAAAAAATCGACTCGACGACTTTCTTGGCCCAAACCAAATCGCCAGCCACCACTATTAATTATCTTAATTAGTACTCCATAAAAGTCTTATCTTCTGACTATAATCTCTCATACATATATTTAATATCTAAGGTTGAAAATGGGAGGCATATATATAAATAAAATTTAAGAATTTTCTTCTTTCAATTCCATTCTCTCTGCATTGAGTCACTGGTTACGTTTATCGTCACTTCTGAGTTCTGCACTGCACACAGAGAATCCCAAAAGAGGGAAAAGAAAAAACCAAAAGAAACAAAAGGCAGGCAGGCACCATTATCTTTACCTCTCTGGGCCATCTTTTTTTTTTTTTTTTTAATACTCAATTTAATCATCATTGCTCCGAGAAGAGAAGATCAAGAAGTCTTACGTTAGATTCATTGAACCTGGACAGGCTTTGGTTCTTTGTTAGTTCTCGGAACTAGCTAGATAGGGTAAGGGATTAGTTAAAATCTTATTCTCCCTATTCTGTGGACCGTCCAGAGTGCGAATGAAAAGGCACGGTGGTCACTTTTTCCTAAATTTTAGTGTTTTTCTTTTGAATAATTAATCTCACTTTTTTGCCCTTATATTTTTGTTTAATCTTTAATTAATAATATATGTAGTGTTTTTTTTTGGTGTACCATGTTTTGCTTGATGTGTATATTTATGGAAATTGCAGTGAGAGTTGGAGGTGTGGGGCCCACTGAATTTCTAGGCCCTAACGTGTCATCCACTATCAATGGCGTTCAACAAAGGCATCTGGGTTGGGGGATGGAGGTGAGACAATTTCTGTTACAGCTTAATTGGGTTTTATATATTCTGTATGATTATGATTGTGATATGATATGATATATGATGCTAGAACTCAGGTAAAAGTTGAATTGATTGCACCATATATATATATACATTTGTTTTAAATAAGGAAGTGAATTGTGTTTGTGAGTTCAATGTTGTTGTCCTGTACGTGTGATTCCATGTCTGGTTTAGGAAGTTGAAGAAATCTTGTTGAAGATAGATATGAGAAAGCTGCCAATATAATGAACTTAATTTTAGCCTGCCAACTAAGAGGGAGGACCCCTTTAGTCAGAGGGTTTTTATTCCCACTTTAATTTACATGTAGTGTGGTGGGCGTTTATCTGTCCCACTATCGATGATGCATGGTCCTTGTTAATTTAGAATCGTATGTAATTGTTATTGGTACATAAAAGGACTTGTCATTACATATTTACTGTGACATTATTGTTACTATACATTCAAAAGGAACATTTTGACACCATCCACTAACTTTCAAGTATCTGGTATCTTTGTTCCCTAGTTCATGCATGTTTGGACAGAAATCATTAGTTTATGTTGCTTTTGTTGGACTGAGGATACTTAAGGTGCAAAGGCAATGCTTTTGCCCCAAGTCCTCACACTTGGGTCTAGTTTCGACTTAGCGACTTCTTAAGTGAGAGGACCAGTGTCTGGTGCTTATAAGGAGCCCATTATATTGGGTGTTGTTCGTACACTACAGTTGTCAAGACTCGATTCTGCGTCTTAGAGTATAATTTGTCATTTGAGTACCAACTGAGCAGTCTGAGTATACTTGTCTAGGTTGAATGTTGGATGGATGGGGAAAAAGTGTTGGATTTTGGAGGAAGCTGATTCTCTATGTTACAAGTGAACACCTTTAACAATATATAATAAAGCAGTTTTATAATATTGAAAGGTGATTAATTTGATTTTCCCAAAATAAACTAATGTTTCCATGCTCTCACAAAAAAGTTAGTACAAAAAAATGTTGTTTAGTAGACTTTACTTAGACAACATCGAAAGTACTCTGATCTGCATCATATCAGTTGTCATTGATGATGCATAATATGTCCATGTTTAGCTAAAATGTTTCCCAGTCTGCATTTCTAGTTTTCTAAAAATTAATTTATTTGTGCTATTTAAATTTAAATTTCAGTTTAAAATGTGTACTATCCAAATAATGAACATTCAATTTTTTGTAGTAATATATAATTGGTTACAATTATTGGTGTTGATAGTAATATATAAATTCAAAATGAGTAGTGTGTATATAGATCACATGAGTGACAATGGTAAGTGAATGTTCATGTATATTTCTATATAAATGAAAAACGAAATTCATTTACAGGGAAAGTTTGAAAAGATGATTTTAATATGTTTTTGAATTTGCATGGCTGAGTTAGAAAATGATTTTTTTTTCCATTTGTTAATTTCAAAAGTAATTTATTTTTGAGAAAAAATGTTTTCTAAAATATTGAGATATTTACCAGCTACTAAGATGCCCTAATCTTTTGTCTTTTCCAATTGTGTACATATTCATTTTTAGTATAATAAAAGTTCATTGCTTTTCGTTCATTTTTAGTATAGTACCAATGAATAACTTATAAAAAAAATGAATAACTTATAAAAAAAAATGAACATCTATTAACGATCTAGAGTACAATTTGCTTGTCTTTTATTCTCAGTTGCCATAGTTACATTAAATACGGAGTTATAATTACTTAAAAGCCCATGCATTGTTGAGGTCAATAGTGCGACTCAAATATGGATGATCATCACTAGTGGATGGATTCTTTACTTAATTAAATTGATGGCTGCAGTGCAGATAGCCCAAATTGCAGACAAAATGTAATTTTTGCATTTGCTAATAATATGATAGTGAAAGAGATCTAGGTTCACACCCAACACCTGTTAAAATGTACACCCTTCATTGGCTTCAAGATTGCAAAGTTTGACCTGCAATTTCCTACATTGTATAAAGGGATCAGAGATGGAACTCCATAAGCCATTCCAATGCTGAAGAAGACTCACACTTTTGAAGTTTTCAGAATCTTTCAACTTATCTAGTTTCCGGCATTCATTCTATTTGAACGGTTGGCTGCTATTGCTGTTGCTGTTAGAAACCTCGTTTTCTATCTTTTTAATACACCTGTGAACAAGTAAAAAAACTGTTAACTATGCATGTTTATTACCTGACAAAATAACTAACATTTCATCTGCATGGCTCCATTACAGGTGAGTTAAAAGAGAGCTTTTATGCTGGGCCGTAGTAAAGTGGAGGCAGTCAAGGCAGGAGAGATGGAGACAAGAAGTTTGTCATTTTCACAACATGAAGAAAACGTACCTTACATTCACAGGGTTGGGGCCCCTCCAAAAGTGAAGCTCTTCAAGGAGTTCAAGGACACGGTTAAGGAAACACTATTTGCAGATGATCCTTTGCGCTCATTTAAGGATCAGACAAGGTCGCGAAAGTTTGTGCTTTTCATACAGGCAGTTTTCCCCATTCTTGAATGGGGAAGACACTATAGCTTCGCTAAATTCAGAGGAGATCTCATTTCTGGTCTCACCATCGCAAGCCTCTGCATTCCTCAGGTACAACAAATGCATGCTAGTGGTATTTAGATGAATAAAATGGTTGATCAAGTATATAAAGTTCATTCATGACTAACTGTTACTTCTTCACTATTGGTTTAAAAGGACATTGGGTATTCCAAGCTGGCAAACTTAGATCCTCAGTATGGATTATGTAAGCATCGTTTCTAAACTCCTTTGGTGACTTACAAAAAAATCCTTTTTTTTTTTTGCACTTGTGCTGACTATCTGTACTGTTATAACTCTGCCAGACTCCAGCTTTGTTCCACCATTGATTTACGCATTCATGGGCAGCTCAAGAGATATTGCCATAGGGCCAGTTGCTGTTGTGTCTCTCTTGCTGGGAACTATGCTTCGGAATGAAATTGATCCTGTTAAAAACAAAACTGAGTACATGAGGCTTGCATTTACTGCCACTTTTTTTGCTGGCATCACACAAGCAATCCTAGGAATTCTCAGGTGCGTATTTCTTTTACTCTACTTGTCTCTTTTCATGGCTGCTTTGGGTTAAACTGACATCTTAATTGACTTCCTTGTTTGCCAGATTGGGGTTTTTAATCGATTTCTTGTCTCATGCTGCTGTTGTTGGTTTTATGGGTGGTGCGGCCATCACAATAGCCCTCCAGCAGCTAAAAGGTTTTCTTGGCATAAAAAAATTTACTAAGAAAACTGATATTATCTCTGTAATGAAGTCTGTATGGGGCTCAGTCCATCATGGAGTATGCATTATTTTCTCTTCCTCGTTATCAATTAGCTCCATTTTTCCTGAGGATGAAACACTTACCTATTTGCGTTTATTTCCCATTGACTTGCAGTGGAATTGGCAGACCATTCTCATTGGAGCTTCCTTCTTAGCTTTCCTGTTATTAGCAAAGTATATTGTAAGCAAATTTAATTTACCTCGCTTCTGTGTTAATATTGTAAAAATATGCCATCATCTTTTGGAGTCTAATGAGATATTACTATATATCAGGGGAAGAAAAACAAGAAATTCTTTTGGGTACCTGCAATTGCTCCACTAATATCTGTCGTTCTCTCTACGTTCTTTGTCTACATTACACATGCAGAAAAGAAAGGAGTTGAGATTGTAAGTTATTTTTGTTTTTGCTGAATCTTTGGTTCTTTCATCTTCCACTTTAATTGGTATGTTTTTCTAATATTGTATCACCACTGTAACCAGGTAAGACACATTGAAAAAGGAATCAATCCTTCCTCCGTGAATGAAATTTACTTTTCTGGAGAATATGTTTTGAAAGGAGTGAGGATCGGTATTGTAGCTGGCATGATTGCATTAACAGTAAGCTCGCTAATCATAAAAATGCAAAGTTTTATAGGAATATATAGATAGATGTACCTGAAAGATATTTACCTGAACTTATACCCTCATCTCTCATGGTGGCTTTCAGGAAGCTGTGGCGATTGGGCGAACATTTGCTTCCATGAAGGACTATCAATTGGATGGAAACAAGGAAATGGTGGCACTAGGAGCCATGAACATTGTTGGCTCAATGACCTCCTGCTATGTGGCAACAGGTGAACGAAACAACCTCTAGAAACATAGATAGACTAATAGAGGCATGTTTTTAACAGGAAAACTCGTAAGGGGCTTAACCAATACAGGAATCTACTATGTTATTGTGATAGTACATGTACTTTATTAGATTCTGATTGGAAGCCATTAATGGAACTTCATGGTCATGGCTATGATGAAGTTAAGTGAGAGAGGGGTTACGTTTCTTGGAGAGGGTGGAATATTTTGGGTATAGGTGGCAAGTGTTCGAGAAAGATCCCCATTATCTTATCTTTTTCTACTTGTATAGGTGAAGGCTAAAAGGGTAAAATAGAAACTTTCTCCTTGAACTTCAAATGGGATTTAACTTCTTGAACGAAATCTATTACCTTGGGTCAATCTTCATGGGCTAGTAGATACTTGAGCCACTGATGGCTGACCTGACCAGAGGTGATGGGTTGGGCCGGGAGTACTAACCCTAACACCTAACATGTAGTACATATATATTATTGTAGGATACTATTATACTAGGATTTATTACTAAAAATCTACCCATGTAAGAACATTTCAAACATAATATGTATAACCTGCTAGTTGTTGTTACATCCTCACGGGCAACTATATAAATCCTAAATATATCACTAACACAAGTTTTTTGCTATACCCAGAAGTTGTAGAAATAATCTTAATCTATCTACTGACTGTAACATGTTGCTTCTTGCAGGTTCCTTTTCTCGCTCAGCAGTAAACTTCATGGCCGGTTGCAACACAGCAGTTTCTAACATTGTCATGTCATGTGTTGTATTTCTAACTTTGGAATTTATAACCCCCATCTTTAAGTACACACCAAACGCAATCCTTTCTGCCATCATTATCTCTGCAGTCATCGGCTTAATAGATTATGAAGCGGCGATCTTGATCTGGAAAATAGATAAATTTGATTTTGTTGCTTGTATGGGGGCATTTCTAGGCGTGGTTTTTGTCTCTGTTGAGATTGGTCTTTTAATTGCGGTAAGGACAATCATCAGTTCAACTATTTATGTATCAAAAGTATATGGCAAATGCTGATGATGCATTTTTCACAATTATAGGTTTCAATATCCTTTGCTAAGATTCTCCTACAAGTGACGAGGCCTCGTACAGCCAGTCTTGGTAGGATTCCTAGGACAAATGTCTATAGGAATACCCAGCAGTACCCTGAAGCAACTAAGGTTCCGGGTGTATTGATTGTTAGGGTTGACTCCGCAATCTATTTTTCAAACTCCAACTATACAAGGGAGAGGTAAGTTAATACATAACTACTTATCCTACGTTTTCTGGCAAATATAGCAAAAAATTAGTAGTGTGGCATAATATAGTTTTTTTCAGGAATTCTGTGTAAAGCATGCTTGAGAAGTGTTAACTGTGAGTGTCAAATTTCTCTTTATTTTTTGCTTTTTTTGCAGAATATTAAGATGGCTGGTAGATGAGGAAGAGCACCTGAAAGCAGCTTCCCTTCCCAGAATTGAGTTTCTAATACTTGAAATGTCGCGTAAGTGGAAGAAATGAACTTTTGATAGTCAAAACGTCTAGTGTCGTGGCTCTTCTTTTCATGATTTATGTTCTTCTTTGCAGCTGTTACTGACATCGACACCAGCGGCATCCACGCCTTGGAAGAGCTGCACAGTAGCCTACAGAAAAGGAATGTTCAGGTAACCATCAGTGCAAATACATGAGAAAAAGTTAAGATTTTGATTCTGTTGTGACCACTTACCGTTGTTATTCATCAACAGCTTGTTCTGGCAAACCCGGGAAGAGTGGTGATTGACAAGCTTCATGCATCCAACTTTACCAACGTCATTGGCGAGGACAAAATCTACCTAACAGTAGCAGATGCAGTGCTAGCATGTTCGCCAAAATTGGCAGATGTGTAATGGAAGCAAGGAGACAGAACAGGGCAGTTTAAGACAGAAAAGGAGAGATATAGCATAAAGGAATATGTAGACCAGGAAGAAAAGGGCCATTTGTATTACTATATTTTGTAGTGCCTGATGGTATCCTTAAGAAAGTGACTGATACCCTTATCCGATCATGCCACAGTGGCCATATATGATAAGGTTGAGTAAAGGTGAAATAAGTAAATACAGAGCACGACTAAAGCATTTCTTAATGTTTCTTCCTTTGCTGTCATTTTATGAAGTAATCAATTTCATCAAGAGTAATAGTCTGTATAATGTTGGCAGTATACACCGGATAAAAAGTAGAAAGAAAAAGAAACTATTTCCCAATGCAGAATTTTCCAAATATGTTAGTTAATATCTCTTCAGAAATATCATCTCCGCTAATTTGCCCAAGGGCCAGCGCAGCTTCCCTTAGATCAATCGTCCAAAAATCAAAGGGCAGCTCCTCTGCTATTGAAGACTTGAGCCTGGTGAATGCATCTTTTGCCCGAATAAGTTGCTCACACTGCCTCTGATAATTATCACAAAAATTTACTTGGATTCAAATTCGATGTAAATTCAAATTCATAGAACCTCAAATGATATATTTAGTCTTAACTACATAACAAGTTAAGAAATATGTGCAATATCGTCAATTGTGATATTAGGTTACAGAAGCAAACAAGTTTTTCTTTTAGGCAGCTGACCTGGTTGACAGTCCATTTGCGACCCCCTGCAGGAATCTTGTTGAGACCCACAATCTCGACTATTGCTGCCTCCAGATCTTGAATTCCATGACCAGTGACAGCACAGGTAAAAATCTTCTTGTTAAAAGAGAAGCCACATGCATCGACCAATTCAGAAGCAAATGGAGCACAGTCTATTTTGTTGACTACTAGAATTATTGGAGAACTCGACCCTGATGCAGTCTGCAAATTAGAAGAAATCATAGAGTCATGCTTGTTTCAAAAGCAAGTCAATACAACTCGTAATAAGCAAAAGCAATCCTTAACATATCCAGGGGAACAACAGATCCAATCATGAGCAAACAATTTCAGATGTTATGGCAGTAAGCCAGTAAATGATTTAGTGTTCAATCATCCGGGTCCTAATATGGTCTAAGTATCTTAATAGAAAGCATTCCTCTAACCAGCTTGGTTGGCGTGAGTGGTCGTGCACTCTCATCCAGTGTTGTAAAAATCAGCCTAGGAGGCCGCCTAGGCGCCCCTAGGCCGAGGCTGAAGTGGCTTCCAGTCGGCTGGCCAACTAGGCGCCCAACTCGGCCGAGTTGGCGCTCAACTCGTGATTTGTTTTTTACATACTCAGTTACTCCTCTTCTATATTCCTCTAGCCATGTACTCAACTAACCATCTAACTTATGCAGTTAACTAGTTTGGGATTATAACAGTCTAACAAGTCCTATTCCTGAGTGGAAAAAGCGGGGACGATATACTCGGATTACTCAGCCACCTAGGCGCTAGGCGCCCGGCTAGCGCCTAGCGCCTTTTGCAACATTGCCCTCATCCCTTAAGAGAGGTTAGGAGTTCAAAACGCCTTGTCGTATGGAAAAACCAATATGGCCAGCACTTTGCCCATTAACTGGGTCAACCCGATGCAAATTGGAATTAGTCTGAGTATGGTACAGGCTTAAAGGTGTTTCCTATAGTTAGGGCCTACTTAGGACACCTTGTGGTCTAACCAAAAAAAAAAAAAAGCATTCCTCTTGGATTCGAGGAAGCAACAACTTCTAAAGCACTCAGTCACCAGCATGCAATATTATCTTCTTGAAAGATTTAGTACTTGGAGTACTGATAAAAAGAATTTTTCTTGAACTTGGCTGTCAAGAAACTATATAACTAAGTCTGAATATAGTATAAGAAAAAAGGTGGAACAGTTCTGAAACCTTGTTGCTTTGAATTCTTTCAAGAAGTCTAGCATCCTCTGTAGTCCAACCCTCTGTTGCACTAACAGTCATTATAATTACATCAGCATTTTCAGCAACTTTTTCAGATCGCTCCACACCTACGAACCGAAGAAGTCAAACTAGCATAAATGGCAAAATCAATCAAAGCTGTAAATGAATTTAGCTAATTAGCACGAGTCACTCACCAAATCTATTTTGAACAAATATTTTATGTACAATAAAATGGCAACTTTCAAGTTTCAACAAAATAGACTTGAAATAAACTTCAACTGAAAGAGATGAAGCAGGAAAAAAGAAGAAGAAGAAGAAGAAGAGAGAAATACCAATTTTCTCCACTACATCATCAGTTTCTCTTATACCCGCTGTATCAAGAAGGATGACGGGGATACCACAGACAGAAATACTAGCTTCTATTACATCCCTCGTGGTTCCAGCAATATCCGTAACTATTGCTCTCTCAGTCTGCATGCTAAAAGGCATATAAGGAACACAATTAGATATTAACACTAAGACTAATAATGATCCAAGCACCAACCAACAGAACAAGTTAACCTTCTATTCAAATAGGTAAAGATATACTGTGCCCCTAAAGATTCTAAACTCCAACTTGAGACTAAGCCTCAGTTTCGATAAACAGCTTAATATAAGCATTTTTATGGTAAGAACTTTACAAATTACAATGAGCAGAAAACTTGTGAGTAAAGAAGATTTGCCATTTTAATTAGCCTCTGAAAAGCTGTTTTCAACTAATTGATTAGTTCATGGAATAGCTAGAAATAAAAGCTCAAAACAACGTTTTTAAAACCATAAGCTTTTTTATAAGCCCATTCAAAAGTGTTGCTTTAATTCACTTTCCACCTCTTACCACTAAAAAGGAAAAGAAGGCTCCAGTGAATGGTTTTCTTGGCTAAGCCCACTGAATTGAACTTTTGCATCTATCTATACACCTCATTGAAGTTATTTTAATGCATAAATGCTTAATATCCAACGAAAGCTAATTAGCTCAATATTGTAGTTTGTCAACCACAAAATTGAAGTACAACAAAGGGTTAAAAGTTACATAATTTTAGTGATACACACAAGTCCATTGTAATATATCTTCAATAGCAATATAATCAAGTCCAAAAAATAAGGAATTCAATGAAATTGTCAAAACGTACTTTGCTCCATGCATTAAGAAGGCTTGATTTTCCAACATTTGGTCTACCAACAATTGCAATCTGTATAAAAGATGAAAATTAATCAAATCTAAGGCATAGCAAAGCAAATAATAAAGGGGGGGAAACTTGAAATGGGAGCTTTCTTGGGACTTATATTTGGGAATTGCTTTTAGTTTAAAAAAACCTAGGGAGTATTTAGAGATATTCTGATTCAGTGCTACATGTGTATTTTGCTTAAATATATGCTAAGGATGCACAAATAAACATGTAGACAAACATAAAATTATCTCATTTCATATATCAAAGTATTTAATGCATTCAAGGCTTCAAGCAATAATATAATTCTCCATATTCCATTAAAGTTAGTTTTTTTCTGCATTTTAACACACACTATAACATTTAAAGGAAAAATGCACATAGTTTCTCCTATCAAAGAAACATTTTCCAGAATGTAATGCTTGCAAACTCGGTCAAAATTTAATCCACACATCAAGCATGTGAACAATGATATAAGACGATTTTGAGTTTACAGGAAGGGAAAAAATAAAAATAAAAAAATTCAAACAAACCACATCTGCTATGTGATTCGCCAATGCTGTTTATTAAATAGTGTAGTCCAGAATCCAGAATGAATGATTTTCCAGGAAAATGTGTAGGGATAAATGAGTAAGTTTTTTTAAATGCATGTAGACCTGTAATCCAGACTGCAGAAGCTTATCATAGTTGGCAGTTTCCAGTGCACTGTCCACATCTCTCAACATCCCATATATTTTCTCCATAATTATGTTCAAGTCCAGGGGCGGCATCTCATCATCGAAATCTAGTCGAGCTTCAATCTCAGTAAGCAACTCAATGCACTGCATTCTTAGAGATTTTACCAAAGAAGAGAAACCTCCCTGTCCAAGAGAAAATTTTAGTCAAAGAGGCATGACATGCATGAAATGGACATCAAAAAGATATAAATAAACCCAAAATAGTAGTATACAGCTTGCACATAATGGAATACTAAAAACCTGTAGTCCTGCCAATGCAGCATCAGCAGCAGCCATTGACTTAGCTGATACAAGTTTTTCCACATTCTCAGCCTGAGAGAGGTCTAAACGCCCATTTAAGAATGCACGAAGAGTGAACTCGCCTGACAGAAAGAAAAGTTATTCTTTTAATATTTTATTTTATTATAGAGTATTTATTCTTGCATAAATATACAGTTTCATTATGCATTGCATCTAACTACTTTTAACATGTGTAAGAGTCCATAAATGGCAATGCCAAGAACATTTGCATCTTTAGGTCTATTTCAAAAATCACAAAGTAACTTTCATTAAAACTTTTCGTGTTCAATCACAAATATAATTTATCAAAAAATGGATGATGTAACTAACCTGGCTCGGCAAGCCTAGCCCCAGCCTCCAGACAAGCCCTCAACACACGATTCAAGCATACTTCACTTCCATGACACTGAAGCTCTACCACATCTTCTCGAGTGTATGATTTTGGAGCTAACATGGGAACAACCAAAACCTAAGACAAACAAAAATCATGATGATAACCATTGCCAAATATACTGCCTTCAACTAATTGCTAACCACCTGTGACTACTAACAGATATTCAAAAATTATTTGCTTCAAATTGCCAAAAGCAAGCCCTTTACATTCAAATGTGTGAATGTTTTTTGAAAAAAGAAAGCTAAGCTATAGTTTAGTACTAAACAGCACAGAGTTGGATAATGTTCAAAAGCCATATCTGAATACTGTTTGAGCAAAGTTCCAAGGAGAATCAGCAAAAAACATTTAAAAAAAAAAACTCAAACTTTACTTTCTTCTGAGCAAGATAATCATTTAATGATGAACTAAAACAGTAAAAAGTGATGAGTAAATGTTAAAATAAAACAATAGTTTGAAATCCATACCTCATCAATCACATTCCCGCGAGAATCAGAAACTACACCATACTCCACAACATGGCTTTTAGGCCTCCATTCAGAAGGGTCGTCCTTTCTCCTCTTCTTCTTCTTCAAGGAACGAAAAAGACGGCCAACAATCGACACCGCAGACGGCCCCGAAAGGCGGACTATCCCAACGGCAGCCGGCGGTCCAGCCAATGAAGTGACAATGGCCGCAATGGTGCTTGAATTGGTAAACGGGGGATTAGAAGGGTTCAGTGTTCCAGACCCCCACACCCTCTCATCTGTCTTCAGCATCAGAGTATGATTATTATAATTATCTGCAACAAAATTAAATCTTTAGGGCATAAGTATGCATAAGATACAGTGGAATAAGAGAAAAAAAGGAGTAACCTCTAGGGATAGCACGGAGTTTGGGAGTGGAAGATAAGCGAGAATGGGGAAACGGGATTGAGAGTTTTCTGTGGAGAACTGAGGGTAGCAAAGGGTGGCGATAGAGGTGGCTGAAGAGTAGATAGCGGAACGCGGGAAGCGAAGCCATTGTTGTGTTGGTGGATCCAGATTTAGATTTAGGCGCAAATTTCACAAACCCCACACTTTGCTCTGCGCCGTTTCTCCACTGTTTTCTTTGTGCGCACTATAGGCGCAAATCACATAAAATGGTCGTTAATTCCCGCTATACAAAACTAGTGATTTTTATAGAGAATTGCGCTTAAAACATTATAAATGAGTAAATAAGACAAAATTGCACTTAACAATCCATAAGAAAATATTATGAGATTGATTATATTATACTATACACTTTTGGAGCTGAAACTCCTATGATAACGAAATAGTCCATTGTGCCCGCATGGGTAGCTCAACTAGTCAAGAGATGAAACTTTGGAAGAATGACTAGGAATCGAGTCTCACCAGCGGCAGTGGGGGGCTCCTTGTGCGCATATTCAGTTGAGTCACCATGATGTAGGAGCAACCTCTCAAAGTGAGGGGGGCAGGGGGCTCCTTGTGCGCGGTGAGCACCGGTCTAGCCTCTGTGGTTCATGTTCAGTTGAGACACTATGTTATGTCGGGCCGGAGTGTGGGGCCCCTAAAATTGGGGTTCAACCTTTTGGAAGAATGAAATAGTCCATTGTTATTTTGTTTTGTTAAGTTTAACTTTTTGATGTACCAAAAAAAAATCAATTTCTATTTTTAACATATATACCAAACCAAACCTTGCATAATAAAGTTTGATGCACAAAGCTTTCAAGGATTTTTCACAAAAATTATTTTTTTCTTACAAATTTACAGAACTCCATAAAATATTTTAGAGCTAATTTTTTTAATTTTAAATAAAGTACAAAAAACCATCTAAAAAATCAATAAATTAACAACAAATATTTACAAATATACATTTATATTTGTAATATTTGTACATTTTTTCATATATTTATATCTTATGTTTCTCCAATTTTTTTGAGTACCCATTTTTATTTAAAAATTATGTTTCTGTACTACTTGGATTGGATAATAAATTTAAATTTAAAAAGGAAAATAAATTGTGTGGATGACCAGCTGGCTTGTGTGATAAAATGGGCATGTATGGACCAGGTGGAAAACAGTGGGGACAATTGTACGCATTTGGTGGGACCCTTGCACCAAAACACACGAAGTCCATTATTGAATGATTGATTTTTTTTTCCTTTTTTTTTTTTTTTACATACTCAATCTCCTTTTTTTTTTTTTTTTTTTTTTGAGAAACTAAATCTCCTTTCTTAAATCATAAAATTATTCTTTATGGTAAAATTTTTATTCAATATTAATGGGGTATTGGGTCAGTGAAAAGTTAGAACGATAGCTGGGCTGAAGGAGCTAGTGTGGCGTGTGTAGCGCGGGAATGTGTAATAATATAAATATTAGTCATTACGGATTTACAGTGTGCGACTTGTACAGTTAGAATAATTCAAAGTTACTTTGTAAGAGTTGGATAATTAAGTTCATGATACTAAGGTGTGCGATTTGAGTCGTAATTATCTCGATGACATAAAAGATACAGAATTGTTCGAGTTGTGTCATGTGAGCGTGAGTTATTCTGATGTGCTACTTGAGCAGTCGGAGTACATCCAAGGTCACTTTGCAGGAGTTGGAAGCTTGTGGCATAATTAACATGACAGAGTTGTTCAGATTATGTTATGCGTGGACTTTTTTCGTGTACGAATTGAATAGTCAAAGTACATTTAAGACATGTTGTACGATTGTGGGTGTGTACGGTGTGACTTATAACCATCCCGATGACTTATAAAAGAGATAATTAATGTTGTTAAGAGATGAGAAAAGGGCATCCGATCTTGAATTGAAAATTGTAATACAAAATTCATTTTATAAAACATTATAATCCTACAATTGTCCATAAAAACTTTATACCACTAATTGAATCCGACACAAAATGAGACAAAGGGATATTACCATACTACCATACATAAGTACTCTTAGAAGAAACTAAGGCTTTATTATATGAAAAATGTTACGTGACGGCATATGAAACACACTATTTTAGCATACGAGACATATATAAAATCTGGCAGGCATTTTCAGTAACTCCGATCCATGCATACATTCTCAAAATTAAAGCAATAATTAACATCATCATCAGCTGGCCTGGGACGCATTATACAATTTAAATATGTGGCCATGAATATTACATGGTGTTGGATCCACGTGAAAATAACATTTTCTTTTATTTCTGCAAAACCTCCAATACTCGTTAGAACCACATAACGCATCGTACGCATATATTTATCGTCTTTGATTCGTAGCGGTCCACTATTTTATACCACTACTAATCTACACGGCGGCGGCTTCGGATTCGGCGGCGGCGGAGCTGGTTGTTGCGGTTTCCTTCTTGTTAGAATTCATCAGTAGATATTTCTCTTTTCTCTCGTCCTGAGACATCTGTTTTTGCCTGCACTCTAGGCTGCAAAATGCACTATCTCCTCTGGAATAATGAGAAAACTAGATTTGTATTAATGGCAGAGAGAGTGAGAGAGGATCGATCGATCGAATGAAGAGACGTGTTAAAGAGTATGTGTACCTATACATGTAGATATCACGATCGGGGATCAGGCAGCGTTTACAGAGAGAACAAGCCCTCAGAAAATGGGCGGTTGTTTCGGCGGCGAAATCTGCCGACCTCCGACGATTCAGGGTTCTGACGGTTACGGCATCGGAGGCCGGCGGCCGGAGCGCGCCTCCGGCCTTGAAGGCGTTATGAGGATCAAACGCCTCGAAATTATTAGCCGATGCCGCCGCCATCGAGGCCTCTTCGATGCCGAGATCCAACGTGAACTCCGTCATGCTTGTGGTTCTATTCATGGACTGCCTCGCTCTCTTTCCCAACAACATTTCTCTCTCTATCACTGTATCACCTTATCTCGAGTATAGTAGCTATGGCGCTAGAAGTCAAAGAAGAAGAAGAGAAAGCGGAGATTAGAGATTTCTCGACATCGAGCTCGAGAGTGAGAGAGAGAGAGAGAGAAGACTAGCGAAGGGGAGTGAGAGAGGGGAGAGTCTGGGAAGAAAAAGAGTGAGGTTGAGAGGAGAGAGAGAATCTGGACCGTTGATTGTGATGGGCGATGGTGCAGTTGTTTCTACTATCGCCGGGAGAAGACATGTCGTAAAACATGCCAATGAGATAAAACACATTAATTTGCCAACATTATAAATGGTAAAAAAACATTATTCCAGCAGGTAATCAATGATGGATAAACAGGCAGTCCTATATGAATTATTTCAATTAATAATTAAATTAATGGTTTATTTATGTACTTATGGAACTTATATTTAAATATATGAGATGTTCAAATGTCAGGGTGACGATAATAGCTTGCCGAGTACAATAATTTTAATGTTTACTATTCATATTCATAAATAAGTTTTTATTATTGGTCGTGTTTGATAAAATAATTAACCTAGCTCTATTAGAATGTAGTATTCTTCTGTGCATATACTTTCTTAATAAGACCTCTACTGAGGCTCGAACTCACAACATTCTAAATGAAAGTCCAACCTGAGTACTATTAGATTACATAGTCCTGGTAACCACTATTAATTATTTTTTTTTTTGAATGCCACTATTAATTATTTGATTTGGTTAAAACGTCAATATACGTATTTGGTTAATTAACTTTTTTGTAACTCTAAAATGCTAGAATTCAAAAAGCTCTCAAAACAATTTTTTCAATTAGTTTTTGAGAAAATAAATTATACCAAACAGTTATCAATTAACAACTAATTTACCAAATATTATCAACTAGTTATACCCTCTAATTAACTCAATCAACTAACATCCATTTACCAAACAAAGTCTATTGTTAAATTGTTAATATATTAATTTAATTATTTTTTTTAATGACAAAAGGGGAGCACCAAGGTTCTTCTCCTTTTGTCCCACATCGAAATGAGGAGGCTCCTCAAGTCCTCATCTCACGTGAAGGATCACTTACTAATTTTTGTAGCCACTATTGTATTCAAAACTAATAATAATAATAATAATAATTAATATTATGTGTTAAATTGTTATATCATGGACCAAAGTTTACATTGCATTGTGAATTATGGTTCAAGAATTATATGTTTGTAGACACATAAGATGTTGATAATGTTGGTTAACATGTTATGCGTCATATAAACTGTTAACTACATGTACAAAATGTATTAACTGCATCAGGTCCACAATGCAATGTAGACTCTGGTTCATGGTATAATTTACCCTATGTGTTGGGGTGATACTAGAGCTTAGGAGTTAGGAGGTCGGCCTTGGAATGGATTGCCCGTCAGGCTTGGCAAGTGTTCGGTGATGGCCTAAAAGGTGTGAAGGCCCAAATATATATATATATATATATATATATATATATATATATATATATATATATATATATATATATACTAGTTTTTTTACGCGCTTTGCCTGAATGGGATAATGCCCAATGATTATTTTTAAATAAGTATTTCTAAGTATATAAACGCAATATTATATCGGAGATGTTCATGCATATGTAAATAAATATTGAATTGGTTTATTTAAATCGGTAATTCAAAATATATAAATGCAAGATAATATTTATTGAATTTTCTAATTGATATTTGGCAGTGGTAATTTTCCTCACATGTTTCATGCATTGTGAGATGTGTGTCGTAGGTTATCATGTGAAAGTATTGAACAAAATATTAATATTTATTATATTTGTATAAAATACTTGGTAAATAAATAAATATATATAATGTATTTTGTATTATAACTTTGATATTTAATTACAAGATAATGTAAAAAGAAGACAATGGACAATGCAGTGAATATAATAAATTAATAAATTTGAAGGTAATGAATCTTTGAATTGTAGAAAATAAAGATAATATAGCTAATTAAATTATATCTATTTTTAATTTTTTTATAATGAATAATTTTTTTTAAAATAAAGGCATTATAGACATCTAATTCTAAATTATTTAAATGCATAAGTATTATTTTTTGTTGTAGCTAATACTTTATTTTAGTTTAATAAGAGTAATAAAGTGGCGTACATACTTTTCAGCAACAATAACGCAATCATTGAATTTTTTTTTTAATTTATATTCGTTGTTGAGACAAATTGTTTTGAGAGTGTCTCAATGACAATTGTTACAATTCCTGTCAATATAGGATTTAATAAATAATTCAAAATATATAGTTACAATAGATATTGTTATAATAATATAGTAAAAATTAACTTACAAATTTCTTTAGAAATTTTCATGCATTGATAAAATTCTGATGTCTAAATTTGTTCAATTAGAGCCAGCGGGATGTCAGCATTGTCATTCGTTAGAAAATGATCCTACCGTTTTAGAGTCCAGGTGTAATTGTATTTATGATCAACAATTTTGTAGTTAGGTCGCACAGGCCTGACAATGATGTAAGAACAATTTTGTCCGATAAAAAAATAATAGTATAATATTTGTAAAGTAATGTACAATAATTGTACCATTATAAAAATACATACAAAAAATATTAATACCATAACGACCTAAATCATACAAATAATGCAAAAGTATAATTGAAATATTAAGTTTTTTTTTTCTGATCTAAATAATCAAAAGAAGATTAATTAAACCAACAAAAAAAAAAAAACTTAACCTAAATATGTTTTTTTTTTTTTTAAATGCATAAAAATCAAATGATTTTTAAAGTTCTTGATTTATAATCTTTGATGCTTAACTTTGAATGTTATGTATTTAGTCAGACTAATTATTTGAACAAAATTTATGTTAAATTTTATATTATATATATTTTAAATATATTTTAACATATTCGTAGTATATGGTTAACAATTATGCCAACTCTAATTGGGATATGGTTCGAAACTAAGACTTTTCTTATAGGAATTAATGTGTAAGTTAAAATAATAAATAGTTAACGGAATATTCCGTTACTAAAGTTTATGCTAACGGAATTTAAGTTATTTAAGGGAAGAAAATAATATAATAGAGGGTAAATAAGGAAAATCAATAAAAAATACTAAAATAAAAATAATATGAATAATTCATTTTAAGAAATAATAGTATAATATGAACAATTCATTTTAAGAAACAATAGGACCGACATTTTTTTGTTCCAGTTAAGGGCCTAACATTATTGGCTCTTATTAGAATTATATATGTATGTAGATGTAGATTGTAGATGTAGATGTAGATTGTAGATATGTGTGTGTGTGACCCAATAGTCAACCCATATGAACTCTACTTTCCTAAATCTTTTTTTTTTTTTTTCTAAAATCACCTTGACAGGATAATAGGGCTGGCACCCGACCCAGATCACAAATGGGCGTTGAGTCAGCATCACATGGGAACCCAACGGGCAGAACTCCAACGGTTAGGAATTCCAACATGTGTCACCTTTATTGTCTTTGAAGCCACCATTGATGCCACCTTTGATGAGAGAGAGTTAAAGCCTCAACGCCTCATTCATGACTCTTCATATTCTTGCCGTTAGCTCAGCTCCCCAATGATGACTCTTCATGTTGTTACCATTAGGACCTAGCATAAATAGAACTTCCCTCAGCTGAGCAGGGGACGCATTGTACTTTCTATACTGAGACAAAAGCAATACATCTATCGTATTCTCTTATAGCATTGTTATATTATTATTTACCGGTAACGTTATTACCGTCATTGGTGCTTTCATTGAGAGCCTGAGTCCAATACTCAAGCAGGCTACAACACTACTCTTTTTCTCTTTCAACAGCAAGCCTGAAAGAATGGCGTCCCGCAGCTCCCACGGTTCTCGCAACGTGAACAATGGCAATGCCTCAGGTGACCTCCGGGACCAACTCACCAACAATCGCGGAGGGGACCTCCGAGAACAGCTCAACAACGGGAGGCCCGGGGACCTTCGAGACCAACTCAACAATGGAGGGGTAAACCAAGCCGTGAACGAGAGGCTTGGGGACCTTCGAGACCAACTCAACAATGGGGGGGTGAACCAAGCCGTGAACCTCCAGGCGACCGCCGATATCATTTAGCAAGCAGTGACGGCGGCGCTAAATCAGGTGGCGGTGGGACTGCAAGGCCAAGTGCCCACGCCGCGGCCCCAGCAAATAGGGGTAGAGGCCCAAAGAAGTGGACCGGCCAGACGACAACCAGGCCCTTCCCAATCTGCGCCAGAACGATTGGGACAGAGGGCGCCCGTGCGGCAAAGATTAGGATCACGGGCCGAGGGGTCCTCTACCAGAGGCCCTCGCCAACACGAGAACAGACAAGCCGAGAGATCACCCACAGAGGAGGTGGGCGAGTCTCGGGAGCCGACCCCACGCCGATACGTTGATGAGTCGGCCCTACGTCGATACTTGGAGGAGCGACGCGTCGATGAGCCGGCTCTGCGTCGGCACTCGGCGGAGAAGCGACGCGCTGATGAGCGGGTCCCACATCGACACTTGGATGGACGGAACGTCGAGGAACCCGCTCCGCGTCGACACTCAGATAGACAGCACGTCGATGAACTAGCTCCACGCCGACACATGGAGGAGCGGCAGCCGGCCCCGCGTCGGCACCCTGACGAGTCGACCCTGGTCGAGAGGCTGCAGAGAAGAATCGAGGAGTTAACAAGAAGGGTGGATGCACGGGAGTAGTCGCCGGAACCTGAGGTACGGATGGCAGCACCATTCTCCCCTAGCATCATGGACGTACCTTTGCCGAGGGACTTTAGGTTGCCCGCCATCAAGGAGTACACGGGGGCCACTGACCCACGTGTCCACATGACGAGGTACAAGGCTGCTATGGTAATGATCGGGGCAGGGGACGCCATCATGTGCCGAGCGTTCTTGTCCACACTGGATGGAGCGGCCCAAGACTGGTTCAATCCCAGATGGGTCGATCCAAAACTTTGGGGAGTTATCCAAGAGCTTCCTAACATACTTCTCCGGTAGCATACATCGCAAGAAACCCTTCTCTCACCTCTGTGTAGTAAAGCAAGATAGAGGCGAGAGCCTCAAAGGCTTCCTGATCAAATGGAAAAAGGAAGTCAATAATGTCTACG